CTTTGCTCCACATTGTTGGGAAGATTCAGAAGAACAACTGGTTTAGTTCCTAGCAGTGAGGCATGATCCTCATTCTCACTGTAACACAGAGCAGCCTCAGAGGATATCCTAAGGGAAAAACTTTGGCTCAGGAGAAGGGCTTCACACACAACAGGCCCCTGGTCCAGTCCTTGGCGTTTTCAGACAGGGCTGGGGAAACCCATCCAAAACTATGACAAGCTTCTGCCCATCAGTGCAGAGTAGCAGTGATGGGGAATCTGTAGTCTTCCAGCTGCTGTCGAACTTCCATCTCCCATCATCCCTGACCATTGGCCATCCTGAATGGGGCCAATGAAGTCTGGAAGGCCACAGGTTTCTCTAGTATAGACAGTACTGATCCCAACAATCTGACTTTGTACAAGGCAGCTTCCTACAGATACTAGACTTTTTATAAATGAGGTTGGAATCAAACCTCTGACGCCCTAGGAGGAAGAAATCTTACTGCCCTTCTATCATCTTTCCCTCCATATTCCTTGGCTTAGCTTGTTTAAAGGGTTTTTTTTTAAATTCCCAGTCCAGAAAAAAACCTCCCCAGAATAGCTCACCATGGGGTGCCATATGTCCAGTTTCTCCTGGACAGGTCTTCTTTTGGGGGAGTATCATTTCAGTCCTGGTGGATTTTTTGAATTTGCCAAAATGTACGAAGTTTGGCAAACAAAGCCAGGAAGTGTGTGCGCGAGTATCGCTCTTTACTTTTTCCTATCTCTATGGATGCTCCTGCTCTCTGTACAAATACTTGCTTTGCAAGCAGAGCCAGGAAGTGTGCATGTGAGGATCACTGTTAACCTTTTATTATCTCTATGGTGCCCCCACATTGTGGATGTTGAGATTGGGCTCATCATTGAATGGCCAATCCAAGGTCATCCTAGACCTCTCTGAGCTGTTGGCCATGCCAGATGGTGCTCAGTAAGCCGCCCGTGAGCAGGTGAGAAAGGCTTCCTTAGCGGGCCTCTCTCTCTGTCTCCCCTTCCCCTCCCCCCCATAAGGGTCTCTCATATACTCCCATATACTCCCATATACTCAATGCCAGGATCCCCACCACTGTGTATTATCCATTGGTTGCAATTAAGCTGACTCTATTTTGCAATTAGAAAGTTCTAAGAAAAGCTCTCTCAGCCCTAATTAAAAGTTCTTTGTCTAAGGCCAATGGGCATTTGGATAGCTATTGTGGAGATGAACCAAATTACCTTGGATACCTCTAAACACAATTCTTGAATGGAAGTTAAAATACACAGCTCTCATGTAAGGTCAGGGAAAGCCCCCCTCCCCGTTTTGTGTGTGGTGTGTGTGTGTGTGTGTGTGTGTGTGTGTGTGTATCCTGTTTAATAAATCTTGAAAACTTAGCTGACTGAAGAACCTAGCAAAGAAAGGGTTGGGGGTTGGGGGAAAGAGTGGAGGAAATGGCTGAAGCACTTGGCACTGCATCTTTCCCCTAAAAGCTTTGCTCCTTTCCTTTGATCACCATACAGCTTGGATCTTCATATTCCAATTCTTTTTGCCATTATGTCTTTGGAAGACATCTGAAGGCAGCCCTGTATAGGGAAGCTTTTTAAATGTTTAATGTTTTATTATTTTTTTATATGTGTTGGAAGCCACCCAGAGTGGCTGGGTCAACCCAGTCAGATGGGCGGGGTATAAATAATAAAATAATTTTTGTTGCAGTTGTTGTTGAATAGGATGTCCCAATTTTCATCGGAGAAAAGTTGGAGGGTATGGTGTGTGTGTCCGCAGTGTGTTCACACAGTGGAAGGCAAGGAGGCTCCGCATCCCATTTTTTTGCTCTTCGAAATATGACAACCCTAGCTTACAATCTAAAAAGGCATGTCACAAAAGGAAAATTGATTGGAAGGGAAGAAGAAACTAGCAAACTTGGGGGCATGTTCTTACTGAAGTTGGAAGCCTTTGACCAGGCTGTGCTGTTTCAGAATGCAACTAAAGTCCCGTGTGATTGAACGCTCCAGCATCCAAGAAGATGAGCCAGGAGGAAGAGGAGGTGGTTATTAAAAACCCTAAACATATCATGGAGAAGGCTATTCTTGACCCTTCTTGTTCCCATCTAGCTTTGTAAGTGGAAAGAATCTTTTATGGAGGAGCATTTTTAGCCTGAAGTCTCAACTCTCAGAAACAGGTTTACTTTGGGGAATAAGCTGCTTATGAATGCTCAGCTTACAGACTCTTGCTCATCCTTCCTGCTCTCGCCTGTCATGTGCCTGACCTTCTTTCACTGGATCATGACATTGTCCCGGTTCTTGGCTGGAGATTTCCATTTCATGCAGGGAGTGGCCCACCAGATATTCTTGAACAATGATTTCTATCTTAGCTATTGGCCAAGCTGGCTGGGGCTGATGGGAGTTGTAATTCAGCAACATCTAGACTGCCACAGGTTAGCCAACCATGCTCTAAGACATCTCAACTCACTTCCTTTTGCACATGGCATCCATGGAGTTACCATTTAATCCTCATTCAGGTGTTCCAGCGCCCCCTTTCCCATTATTTCCCCTATCAGGCTTCTCTTTTCTCTTTCATATATTCCAACTGTTATCCCTAGTACAAACACACCTGTTGGCACTGCTGTAACATAGCATAGTGACTAAGAGAATGAGCTGTGGTCCAAAAGGCCACTGGTTCCAGTCTCAGCTTAGCCACAAACTCATTGCTTGGCCTTAGATATTAGTCTTTTTTTAAAAAATTGTGTGTTTTTTGTTTTGTTTTTGCATTGTCTTTTATAATTTAAAGATAGTTTTGCACATGGGGCCATATTCCATGGTGATGTGCCCCACCTGTATTATGAAGTGGTATGGTCCTTTCTGCCACCTTATTTTGTTGTGGGTGTGGACCAAACCTTTGTGGTGTCTCCTAAGAAATCTCACTGTTCCTTTTCTATGTCTGTTTTACCCCTTAAGTAATAGTTGTAGTTGTTGTTGTCGTCATCGTTGTTTTCATCATTGTTGCTGCTGATGTTGTTGTTGTAATTTGCTTTGGAAAACTGGCTTGAAAAAGCTGGATGTAAATAAATAGCCCACACTTTGAAACTCCCTGCCTATGAACAACAGGCAGGTACTTCAACTATAGTCTTTTTGGTGCCTGATTAAAACTTTTTTGTTTAGGCAAGCCTTGCCAGACACGTGGAAGCTGTCGTGTGATTCAATCTGTTTTTAGCTTATCATTGATTTTAATTATTTTCTAAATGTTTTAAATAATTATTTTTTTAGCTGATCATTTTTTGTCTTACTCTTTTGGTGAACCACTTTGAGGTTTTATTGCCATCAAGAGGTACAGTGGTACCTCGGGTTAAGTGCTTAATTCGTTCTGGAGGTCTGTTTTCAACCTGAAACTGTTCTTAACCTGAAGCACCACTTTAGCTAATGGGGCCTCCTGCTGCCGCCGCGCCGCCAGAACACAATTTCTGTTCTCATCCTGAGGCAAAGTTCTTAACCCGAGGTACTATTTCTGGGTTAGCGGAGTCTGTAACCTGAAGCGTATGTAACCTGAAGCATCTGTAACCCAAGTTACCACTGTATTAAAATGTTGTGGGAATTAATTAATAAAATAGACAAGACACATCCCTCTCAGACCCTTCCCCCTCTCAGACATTATTTGCTGTATGGGAAATAATACTGACCCAGTTTACAGAACTGTTGTAAAGTTGATTATGACCATAATGTACTGTCTGCTATAAAAATGTCAATCTGTTGGCTTGGGAGCTGGAGGGAGGTAAATTAGGCCAGGGGGTATAAGTGGAAGGTTAGAAGCTGATAGAGAGAAAAGCTGGAGGTAATTCACTGTGTTCTAGAGCCGGACTGGATAGAAAGGGGGAATTACGTGGAGAATCAGCTTATCAGTTTAAGAGGGAGGGGAAGTTGGCTGGAGGGCAGAATGTTGCTAAGGCTCTATTGGCATTTATCTTTTAAAAAGCAGTTAGTGGGTCTGAGAAATCAGTGCAGATGGGATTCTTAGATCCCTTAGATGAAGGTTTCTGTATTAAAATAAATTCTTACTGTAAATATGCAGGGGGTTGTGGTTATATATAATTGTTGCAAACCACTTTGATTTTTTTAAAATGAAATTGCGGTATACACGTATTTTTTTTATTTAAAAAGATATGTAACAGTGCCCTCACTAACAAACATACCTTTATACTTATTTGCTTTTCCATTCTGTTATGAATAAGACCTGCTGGGTTGTTAATCTCGATCTGCCTCTTCATAGAATTCCTGTTTTAATAGTTTGAACATCCACTCCAAAACAATGTATATATTCGTAGTGGGACCATGACACGAGGAATCACAGTCTTTGAAACGTTGCTTTTCGGATCAGGTCTATACATGTAGCAGAATGAATGGCAAAATAGGCTGAACAGCTTCAGTCTGCAAGTTGTATATGAGAGAGAGAGAGCGCATGCATGTGTGTATGTGTGCACAGGTGTGTGAGCATGCAAAATTATCCAATGTTTTACAGCAGACCTTTCTTCCCAATCTGCTAGTTGTATATTTGCAGGAGCATTCCACTGTGACTCTCCCGCCTGTTGTAGGAAGTGGTACAGTCCCTTCTGGCACTTCATTCTGCTGCTGTGTGCGTAGATGAAGCCTTCGTGGTCCCTCCTATGAAACATAACCATCCCCTTTCCGAGTTTGGTTCACCTTTCTATGAAAGAGCTTGCCTTTGGGTTTGGTGCTCCTATCTCTTGGGAAATCCATGTGCCTTGTGGTAGGGAGAGAGGCTGCCCCTGCTGCCTGGAGGTGGGTCACTCCTAGACTGAGTGATGATGACAAGCCTCTCTTTCACTCCAAATGCTCTTTTCTCAGCAGTGAGATAAATATGATGCCTCCATTAGATGGCATCCAAACAATACAGATGTTTAAAGCACCTGCTACCAATGAGTTGCATCCCAAAGAATGCTTAGAAGATAAAGAATCAAGGCTTGCTGTTCTAATGTTTACCTTTTCCCCCTCATGGCACAGCTCATTTCCAGTGACGCTGATGGAGCTATCCAAAGAGCTGGGCGATTCCGGGTGGAAAATGGCTCTGTTGATGAGGTAGGAGGAGGTCTTTGCCTTAAGGCTTGTTTTCCTCAGATTGGTTAGGCATTGGCATCATAACAGTGGGCAGATCTACACTCCTGGTTTTTAATGCTAAAAAAGAGTTAAGGAATGATTCTGATAACCATATAGCCACTTGACATTCTTTTTTAATGTTCATAAAGCGCTGCAGAGCAACCAGAAAACAGGGAAACAGTGGGGAGAAAGAGAAAGCAAAACAAAATGTTTCCTGCTTTGATGTTTTAGAATGATATTTCTAATATTGATCTAATAATGTTTAAAAGGATCCAGCCAATGTATTAGAGCGAAAAACAATTGTTTTTATTCTGCTCTACCAAACAAGGCTCCCTGAGTAGCTTACAAATAGCAGTGAGAAAACTGTTCCTGCTGTCAAGCTCACAATCTAAGAGATATAACATAAGAGGAAAGGGGACTGGGAAGGAGAAGGGGAAAAGCAAATTCAGGCACTAATTCTTAGTTACGGAGATCTTGTAGTAAACAGCAGGAGGTAGCCATCAAATTGGAGCCTGGAGCAAGAATCAAGGGGTGCTGTTGATTGTTATAACACACCCAAGAGTCAGGAAAGATTTTCTCAGTCTAGACCAGGGGTCTGCAACCTTTAAGACAAAAAGAGCCACTTGGACCCGTTTCTGAAGAAAAAACAACAACTGGGAGCCGCAAAACCATTGCGACATTTAAAACAAATATATCTCCAGAGCCGCAATCTGACAGCGGGCGGGAAGGTGACGTCGGGACGGTGCGTGACTAACGCACGCACCGCCCCCATGCGACATCACAGCCAGTACAGCGCCCACCACAGTGAGGAGTGTCGGGGCGCACAATGCACCTCCTCCCCTCACTAGTATCCGCCCCGGAGCCGCGGCAAAGATGTAAAAGAGCCACATGCGGCTCCGGAGCCACGGGTTGCAGACCCCTGGTCTAGACGTAACAGGAAGTCATTTTCAAAGCCTTTCCTGTTCATGAGAGCCAATCACCAGCCCTAGTGGGTTGACTCACTCCAGTGCCCTGGTATCCCTACTACAGGTTTACACCTTTTTGCAAGCTGGTTGCCCTAATATAATACATTTTGTATGTTGTGTTCACTAACACATTCTTTTTATTATACACACTTTTACCCTAACATAGTAGATTTCTTGGAGAATGCCAATGCTGTTGCGGCCTCTTGTATTTCAGCAAGGAAGGCATTCCACAGCACTGGTGCCACCAGTGAAAAGCCCACCTCTGCATTATCACAAGCCAATAATCATCAGAGTGTGGCAAAGCAAGCCAGGTTCCATTTGTTCATCTTAGTGCCCTTAACAGGCAATGGTGGGGAAGACAGTGTTTCAGGTAACCTGGTATAGAGTTGTTTAGTGTTTTACATCTAAGTAGCAGGACCTTAAAATGGGTTCAGTAGTTAATAGGCATCAGGCGCAGATCCTCTAACATATGGACACCCAATAAGGGGCTGGGCTACCAGCTGCTTCAAATGCCTACTTCTCCCTCTCCCCTCCTCCATTCCACGTCCTGTTTGCTATTTCTGTGTGGGGAGCCTTGAATTAAATGACTTCCTGGTTTCTCTTTTCTTTCCAGAACACAGATTATGCCCCTGGTACATGGCGCAGAACAGATGTGCATTTGGAGAACCCGGAGTACCACACCAGATGGTACTTCAAGTATTTTCTAGGAAAAGGTAGTTACACTTTTTTGTTTGTGCGCACATGCCTGCATCAGTTACAACGTTATTGAATAATCAAACTGTGCTTTGATCATTAGCAGTGTCTTCTCTTGCCTTGATCAGAGTGAGTTTCTCTCTGAGAGTTCCTTTTTCAAATGAGACCATTTTAACTTTAGCCATGTGACCACATCTATGCAACCACCTTTTTTGACTGATAGGCCTGAGTGCCCGGCCTTTAGAGTATATGTTATGGCAGGTCTCCACCATTTTGTCCCACTTGGCTAAAAGAGACTGAAGTGTGAATGGCCCCTGTTCAAACCTCACCTCCGTAATAGCAAAGTAGGCCATCTGTGTTCAGAGGCAGTGGCATTAAATTTGGTACCAGTCTTTGCACAGGGAATTTTGCATGCGGCACTGAGGTGCTTACTCTATGAGCAATGGGATTCCCCTGTGTGTACAGTTTGGGTTCCTTTGCAGGTTGGTTTTGCATTTTGTAACAGGCACTGTTTTTGCTCCCCAGTTCATCAGAACTATGTAGGAACAGACATAGAGAAGAACCCCTTTTTTCTGTCTGTCGTACTCTCTGACCAAAACAATCAGCGTGTTCCTCAATACCGTGCAATCCTCTGGAGAAAAACAGTAAGGGACAAACATTTTGCCTGCTCTTTTATATTGGTACTAATTGTTTAGCTTAGTTTCTGACAATCCATGGTAATCCGTGGAGCATGCCAAGCTAGGAAGGCTTTGATAGAAAAACAGGCACTCCTTCCATTATAAGTAGTTTCTTTCACCCCGACTTGCAGCTTACTTATTTGCTAAATTCCACAAAGGCCTTTTGAATCTTTCACATTGTTCAGATGCACATTTAAACCATGGTTTATTGTGAACCAACCCCATCTGACAAACTATGGCGTAAGTTATGGTTCAAGCTACAGTTAGCACAAACCATGTTTGAGGGTTACATCTGAATCAACTCTCACCCATTAGTGTTCTGAATATTTTTGTAATTGATTGAATTAACTTAGTATTTTCATTTGTATAGAAAAAAACCCAAAGTCATCTGAGAAAGAGCATCTGTCTTAATGCAATTCTCTTCTAGGGTACTCTGAAAATATGCCTCCCTTACAGTCCTACCAAAACTTTGTCTGTGAAATCTATTTTAAGGTAAGCAGTTAAAAACAATTCAGTAGAGATTACGTTTAAAAGATCATTGCAGCAGATATTACTCATTGTTGCTCCACATGAACAGACAACACTGAAATTTACAATTTCACCTACATTTCAGTGCCATGAATCTTGACAAATTTGAGAAAGGCCCTAGAGAAATTCTTCACCCTGAAATTCAAAAGGTGAGCTTTGCAAAGCTTTTTCAGTATTTCTTTTCTCCACCCTATTTTAAGATTGTTTATTTTGTGGAGCCGGTTGGGGGTGTCTTTTGGAAACAATTGCTTCAAAAACAGACTTCAGGAAATGTGTTTTATGAATGTGGTGAGTTGCTTTGAGGACTTCATCCAAAAGCCACAGATCTAATAAATGGAATTAAATGTTTTGCAGAGAGTTTTAAGCTGGTGGAGCTTAAGAACATAAGAAGAGCCTTGCTGGATCAGGCCAAAGACCCACCTAGTCCAGCATTCTGTTCTCACAGTGGCCAACCAGATTCCCCAATGGGAAGCCTGCAAGCCAGACCTGAGCACCAATAGCTCTCCCTCCCTACTTGTGATGCCCAGCAGCTGGTATTCAAAGGCATACTGCCTCCCACGGTGGAGGAACTTAGCCATTGATAGTCTTCTCCTCCTCGAATTTGTCTAATCCTCTCTTGCTCCATTTGCTTAATCACTTTGGGTTCCCTTTTTTGAACCTTTGCCATCTCTACAATATCCTTTTTTGAGGCGTCCACAACTATACAAAGTATTCCAAGTGTGGTTCCACCATAGATTTGTATAACAGCATTATGCCATTGGCAGTTTTATTTTCAATCCTTGGTGTGTTCAGTGACAAGCCCATGAGCTGGAATCCAGCATCTGGGTGGTGGTCTCATCCTCTTGTGGAGGATAAATGATCTATCAGAATGTGTGCTGTGATATCTAAGAAGGAAACCTCAGTGCAAGGCGTGATGGAAGAGAAACAAAGGCAGTAAGAAAAGGCTGAAGTCTAGCAGGCAGAGAATGGAAGGTCAAAGCAAGGGCTGTGGCTCAAAGGCAAAACATCTGCTTTGCATGCAGAAGATCCCAGCTTCATTCCCTGGCATCAATGGGTAGGACTAGGAGAGACCTCTGCTTGAAATCTTAGTGAATCACTGCCAGTCAGTTTAGACATATTGAGCTAGATGGGCTAATGCTCTGACTCAGACTAAGGCAGCTTCTTGTGTTGCTGTATCTTAAGAGAAGGGCTGTAGTGCAGGGGTAGAACATTTGCCTTGCATTGAGAAGGTCCCAGGTTCAATCCCCAACATCTCCAGGTCTGAAACTGTGGAGAGCCACTGCCAAACAGTGTACGCATTGCTAAGCTAGATGGCCTAATGGGTTAACTCAGTATAAGGCAGATTCCTATGGCTGTTGTTTGCTAGGGAGTGGGGGTTGAATGTCTGAGAAGCAGGGGCAGAAGTTTGAATGTTCGTGGAGCAGAAAGGAAAAATATAGCCCCTTGGTAGCCCTTCAAGACGTGTGTAGAGACAAATTGGAAAGAGTTCCGCGGAGGCAGCAAAAACAGTCAGCAGTCTGGAAAACAAGCCCTGTGAAGAAAAATGGAAGGAAGTGGGTATGTTTAGCCTAAAGAAGCGAAGACTGAGACAAGGGGAAGACAGGGGTTCTCCGTGTCTGTCCTGGAAGAAAGCTGCATGAACTGTAGCCTGCTGAACAGGATAAAGAGATCATAAGCAGATGGCCAGAATATCTATGACTAGACTTAAGGGATAGTACCTGGGCACTATGCCAAAGCAGCAGGTGGCTTGTAACACCTTGTCCTGGACTCACTTTTAATTACATTTCCCTCTTTACAGTTTGGGCATTTCCTGGACCTTTCTGTTCAAAGGTTGAATGGGATTTTTTATCCATGTGGTTGTTGTTGTTTCTGGTTACCCACCCTTCACCCTAAGGTCCTAAGGCAGGTTACAAGACTTTAAAGTACAACAATTTAAACAATTTAAAAACTTGCAAGTACTTGACTAGGGCGAGATGTCACTTTTTCCAATCCTAACCAAGAGACCAATGTTGAAAAACAGTGTGGTTGCCGCTGCTTTTGTCTGAAAGCCCTGACCAGTTACATTTAGGGTGCAAACAAATGACAAATTAGATTGCTGGGTTTTGAATGAATCTAAAAGCTGAATATATTTGTTCTTTTCCCTCCCCAGGATTTATTGGTTCTGGAAGAGCAAGAGGTAATTCACAACCTGATTCCTTTAAGTTCCCAGGAGCCTATCTAACAAACATTGGTTTCCATTTTGAAAAGTACCATGTTCTATTCTGTGGGCTATGCTACTTGGTTTGATTTGGGGGGTGGGGGTGGTGTTGTACCCACAAATACTCTTGTGTGCCCCTCCTGAGGTCAACATAAGTGCAAAATCATGATTGAGAAGGCCGATTAGAGTTGGGAGCTATTGGTGAACCAGTTTCAGACCATGCACTTCTACAGATCTGTTGGGGACCCTGTTACCTGAATTCAGGAGGGGGGGAAACATAGTTGCTCAGATTGCTGCTACTGCATATGTCTCACAGAATGTGCTGCTGAAAACACCAATTCCATCTCATGGGCACCCCTTCTCACCCACATTGGGCAGGAATACTTATCCCATGATGTGACAACCCTATCTTAATCCTGCCCTGCAAGCAGCAACCCATGGTCCAGAAAGAGGGGGGCGGGCATCTTGAGATAAGTATTGCACAGGTTCTGAAAGTGAGCAAAGGAACTCAACATGGCGTATTGTTTTCAGTGCCCCGGCCCCAGTTACATAATGTGTGATTTTGGCCGGAGAAGTACTTATGAAACAATACTCTTTCCTTCTACAATGTTTTGGACTCTTGTGTTCCTCTTGTGTCACTACTGCTTGCCGCACCTTATTCCAAAGTACCAATTGCGAGAGAGGCCCATATATCAATTCAGTTTGATTATGGACCCTTGAAGGTTCATGGGCCCATGGGCCTCACTTGCATCTGCCACTAGCTCAGTCTGAGCCACTCATGTGGTGGGGTCAGGGTGTAAATCACAGCAAATGAGCTTGTGCTGATGCTGTATTGACTCATGGGAGCGATCCATGTCTTTGAAACAGAATGGGAAGTGTGAGTGCTGAGTGCCATAATTGAGTGTCTGCAAACTCCCCTAACAATAACAATGATTGGTTTTCATACGTGCAATGGATTGCCTAAAACTGATGATATTCCTATTAGTGGTAGAGGGATCCACATATTTTAAATCTCCAAATTGGAGGAAGCTGGTGCCCAAATCTGTCCCATTCCAGACTTGTGTTTGTGCGGAGGGGGAGGGGGATGACATACTTAGCTCTGTTAGGGAAGTTTTTAGTGTTTGATGTTTTATTCTGTTTTAATATTCTGTTGTGAGCCACCCAGAGTGGCTGGGGAAACCCAGCTAGATGGGCAGGGTATAAACAAACAAACAAACAAACAAATAAAATAAATTTTTATTTATATCCCGCCCTCCCCAGCCAAAGCCGGGCTCAGAGAGGCTAACAACAGTAAAAATAGCACAGTTTAAAATTAGGGAATTTTAAGATATCAGGCTTGCACAAGCAGTGTTACTGAGTGTGAGAAATAGGGATTTTGCATGTTTATTTTTGAAGATTTTTGTTGCTGGTGTTAGACAGCTACAAAGTAGGGATATGGGGAAATGAACCTAACAAGAAAATCAGAAAAACAAGTCAGTGTTCCCTGGATTTTAATATCATAAACTCCCACCGCAACAAAATCTTGCATTGTGGGCTACTGCTGTTCACTTTCCTAGTCACCTCTTCAAGAATACTCCATTCCAGCCCCTTCCAACTAGGTTTTCTGTTCCACTTGCAAATAATCAGCTAGCACTCTGTACCCACTGAGGGCTGTTTTCTGGGTTTCCCCTCCTGTGTATTTATTTATATCTATTTATTTAATGAAATGTATATCTTGATTGTAAGAAAACCTCTGTGTTTTACTAAAATATAAAATAAACATTAAAATTCTCCTTTGAAAATAATTCAAAAGATTATTAAAACCTTCAGTAGCTAAAAAGAAATAAAATACATGTAACGTATATGTCTCTGGATAGGCTTGCCTAAACAGAACTGTTTTAAGCAGGCACTGAAAAGAGTTCAGCAAAAGTGTCAATAGGCAGGGAGTTCCAAGGTGTAGGTGCTGCCATGCTGCTGCTACAAACCATGGCATTCCACAAAGCCTGCTGATTCCCTTCCTTTTTGTGCATGGGCGGTGCTGTCTTGGTTGTATAAATGTCAGCACTCGTACCTGGAGATCAGAAATACAGACAATGCTGAGAAATCCAGTTATAAGAAGAAATAAAGACTTGTGAGTCCTGTTTGCAAGGCAATCCCTTTAATGGCTCCCAATTCAGGCTCATCCGCAGACAGCAGGTTCACGTTAACATTTTATTTATTTTGTTACAAATAAAAGTACACCTGACTTCAAATTCATAGAATCATAGAGCTGGAATAGACCACAAGGGCCATCGAGTCCAACCCCCTGACAAGCAGGAAACACCATCAGAGCACTCCTGACATATGGTTGTCAAGCCTCTGCTTAAAGACCTCCAAAGACGGAGACTCCACCACACTCCTTGGCAGCAAATTCCACTGTCATGAGCAGGGCAGTTGCCCAAAAAGGTGGGTGGGGGATAATATAGTGTGCAAGTGAATCAGAACCTGAGCATATGAATGATAAACTAAAAAGAAAAATGAAAAACCCTGAGTAGAGTAAGATAAGGTTACCAGACGTCCCCATTTCCTGGGGACATTCCCCGGATTTACAAATAAAGTCCCCATGCAAAATCCATTGAAGTTGAAAAGTGTCCCCAGATTCATTGGGGGGAAATCTGGTAACCTTAAAGAATATGGTTTGTCTTTCCAAACTGGTTTCCCACATCTTTCTGGAGCAGTGTGCATGGGCTTGCATTTCTCAATGAATATTCAAATTCATGAAGTCTCCATTGCACATCCTGGTCCTCCCCCCCCCCCCCAATTCACATGTACCGGTATTTCTCTGGGATGCAGCTCAATATGATTGGAAGAGCTACAGCCCTACTCTAGCACCCTCTAGCTGTTAAGGGTTTAGAAGACGTACTCTGCTCATTGGCAAGTTAGGATGCAGGATTATTGTGGAACTGCCAAATTTAACTGCCAAGTTAAAAGGAGCACTTTCACTTTTCCAATATAAAGCTGTTTCATTTTTTGAAGAATGCCAGTCTGGTTCCGTCTTACTAATATACTGTTCCTGTTTCATAGGGCTCTGTCAATTTTAAGTTTGGAGTACTTTATGCCAAAGATGGACAGCTAACAGATGACGAGATGTTCAGCAACGGTGAGTCTGAAGACTGATTTCTATCTGAACTGAGGTGGGTGGGGAAATGTCTGTGTTTATGCCATTGTGCTGATCTTGGTTTAGATCTAGACCAGTGGTGGCCAGCTTTGGTGGTGCATTGGATTCTACCTGGCTGAACTGCTTAGAGGTGCAATGCCATCTCCCTCCAAACAGGAGGGGAAATCTGATTCCCTAAAAAAAAAAAAAAAGGTTGGTGAGTGCCCTTGCCGAGGCAAAAGAAGAGGATTTCCCCAGGCACCATCTGAAACATCCTCTCCTGTTATTTCACAATCACTGCAATAGCCAATGTGGTGTCTTCCAGGTGATGTTTGACTCCAGTTCCCATCAGCCCCAACCAGCATGGGCAAAGGTTGGGAAGATGGGAGTTGTAGTCTCCTGGTGTGCATTTTGTATTACGAGGCAGCATAAGCAAGAAAGAGAGTCCTCTGCTTTGAAAAGTTTACGCTATTAACTTTTGTCAGATAGAGAATACGGTGTGGAGTGTAAATTCCACACATAGCAACCATACATATTTACCTTCCCTTTTTGTAAGGTACTTCCATACCCAGTGATTCTTTGAGCCAGCCAGGGTCATATCTCAGTAGTAGAGCATCTGCTTTGCATGTGTAAAGTCCCTGGTTGCCTTAAATCCTGAAGAGCCACGGCCAATCATTGTAGACAATATTGAACTAGACTGACAAGTAATCTTGGTATAAGGCAGCTTCCTACATTTCTGTGAATGCTCGGATTTAAGTGAAATCCAGGGCTGATTTCTTTTTGTTACCATATTTCTCTACTCATGAACATTATGTTGGCTTACAGAACAAAGAGTACTGTGTTAAAGATGCAACACAATAAATATGCAATAATTAAAAGCAGCCTTAAAACCTTCCCTTTCTAGCAACTCAGATTAAAAGATGATTTGAAGGCCTGGGTGCCTTCACCTGACACTGAAAAGACCATTAAAAATGGCAAAATGAAACTGTGTTCCCTAGCCAGGGTGTCACCACTATGAAGGCCCTCTCACTAGCAGCTACTTTTCTTATGCAGTTGTAGCTCCGCTGTTCAATTGTGGGAGGCTTAAATGAAAGAGGTAGTGGAGGCTGATCCATTAAGGCAAATGGGGCACTGCCCCACCATCCTCAGTCTGCCGTCAGCCAGCTCCCCCCTCCTGCCTTCTTACTTGCAACCAGTTCCGGGAGTGGCCCTGCCTACCAGCTTCTACCTCCTTAATCTCAGTGTTTCCCTTGTAGAAGTAAGCAGGGAGGAGGATGGCAGGGGACTAGACCATAATTAGTTGGCGCTGCCTCTCATTGGCTCTGGTGCCACCACCACCTATGGGTGGTCTCTTTGCCTTGTGCTCTACCAGTCCCAACGGGTACCAGGCATCACTGGAAAGAGGTATACAAATACCCATGGTTGCAGTTTTCAGTTCTCTAACTCTGCCACCCACAGCTGCTCCAGAGTCCCTGGATCGTTCAAACCAGTGTCCTTCAACCTTGAGTCCACAGATGGGGTTTTTTTAGACTACAGCTCCTATCAACCCGTTAGCTAAGCCTGTGGTCAGGGATGATGGAATTTGTAGTCAAGTTTTGAAAAGCCCTGTTTTAAAAGATTCTGCCTATTCCACATATACATTTATAATTCCCATCTACAGTTCCTTTAGGGACGCGGGTGGCGCTGTGGGTAAAAGCCTCAGCGCCTAGGGCTTGCCGATCGAAAGGTCGGCGGTTCGAATCCCCGCGGCGGGGTGCGCTCCCGTTGCTCGGTCCCAGCGCCTGCCAACCTAGCAGTTCAAAAGCACCCCCGGGTGCAAGTAGATAAATAGGGACCGCTTACTAGCGGGAAGGTAAACGGCGTTTCCGTGTGCGGCTCTGGCTCGCCAGAGCAGCGATGTCACGCTGGCCACGTGACCCGGAAGTGTCTCCGGACAGCGCTGGCCCCCGGCCTCTTGAGTGAGATGGGCGCACAACCCTAGAGTCTGTCAAGACTGGCCCGTACGGGTAGGGGTACCTTTACCTTTTACTACACTTCCTTTAACAGTCAATCCCTTTTCTCATGGAACGCTGGGAGCAGTAGATCTGTCAGGGCAACAGGGTTGTTTCCTAACAACTCTCAGCGCCCTTGAGAAGCTGCAGTTTCCAGGATTCTTTGAGGGGAATATTGCTTTAAATGTGTGGTGCGGATGCAGCCACTCTTGCTTATAATACTCTATCAAGTACCATGTACACACTGGTGGCGCCACATTCATAACAATCATAAATCTGCCCCTCTGGCTGGACTTTCCCACAGAAAAAACAAGTTGCACTTCCAGCGTAAACACCCCCCCCCTTCTCTCCAGCTTCTTCTTAAGCTACTCTCCCAAGCAGCAGACAAAATAAAAGGGATAGCCAGTTTCTTGGGAACTCTTGCTATCCCCCACCCGCCAACCACCCTTGGCATGGATCCGCTCTGCCTCCTCCGGCTTCCCAGAGCATCTCTATCCATGTGACCTGGAGTTTGTTTTCACCTCCTGTCTCTGAACAACGGCTGCAAAATATTTCAATGTCGGGCCGAGAACATTTTGTGTTTGTATGACTAAAAGCTCTGGCAGGCTCTTAATGCCTTGGTTATATTTGCAGAGCCAGCTTGACATATTTGTGTTCTCAACAGCCAAAGGGGGAGGGGGGCGGGACAGAAAATACCAAAAGCTTTCCATCTTCCTTGCCCTTATCTCCTGCCCTGCCGCCACCAAAATTGCCTTAGTCTCATTCCTCATAACTGTTTTGTCTTGGTCTCAAGGTGGACTTCTCCAACCTTTTTAAGATACAGTGGTACCTTGGGTTACAGACGCTTCAGGTTACAGACACGTCAGGTTACAGACGCTTCAGGTTACAGACTCTGCTAACCCAGAAATAGTACCTTGGGTTAAGAACTTTGCTTCAGGATGAGAACAGAAATCGTTAAGTAGCGGCGCGGCGGCAGCAGGAGGCCCCATAAGATAAAGTGGTACCTCAGGTTAAGAACAGTTTCAGGTTAAGAACGGACCTCCAGAACGAATTAAGTTCTTAACCCGAGGTACCACTGTACTTGAAATATGGGATCCGCATGTACTACATTTAGCATGTACATCTGACTCTTCTTTTCTTTGCTGTTTCATACACACAGGTTTAGAAGTGTTATGGTTCTCGGGGTCAAATGAAGCATGATGTTAAATGTGTCCATGCATTTAATGTCCAGATTTTATTTAAATCTCTCACCTCTTTCTCATCCCATTGTCTCTTCCCACTACCTTATTCGACCCCCCCCCCCCCAATCTGCAGAAGCTGGCAGCGAAAGCTTTCAGAGGTTATTGAGTCTCTTGGGGGACACCATTACTTTGAAGGGCTGGACCGGCTACAGAGGAGGACTGGACACCAAAAGTAAGGTTTCATTGGAGGCAATTAGTATCATACCCATCCAGATTGGCAGATCCAGAACATATCTTGTAATGCATGAAAATGTTCTTCTCTAGTTACTTGCTTTGTGTTCTCCTATTGGCCTTTGCAACTCAAATGTCTTGGCTCCACTTCTGTTTCAGCCCAGCACCAGTCCAGGCACCTGCATTGCTGCTTTTTAAGTCCCAATTAAAACATTTTGATGTGCTCAACCTTTTGGTGGCATTGAATCTCTGATGGTTTTTACCCACCAGTTGTTTGCTCTTCTCTTCGCTGCTGTTTTCTGTTCCATTGTTTATTTTTATTGCAATCCGTTTGTTGTAAGTGGCTTCAGGCATATTAGCAGGAGGACAGTGATAAAGGCTCCTCCAGTCAACCTATGTATTGAACATCCTGATTTGTTTGCACAAAGCTTACGCAGAGGTCGGATTATATCCTACTTTTCTTCTGATTTGCTTATGGGGAGGTTATACAACAATGAACATTTTGTCCTGCATTCATACTGATCCTCTTGTAGAGTGACTAAACTCCTTCCCAGTAAGCATTCATTTGTTCCACACTTTTTAATGCATTTCCTCATCACTTTCCTAACCACAAAAGGTCAGTTTCCTTTTTTAAAATGGATGTATTATGCTAGAATGACAGAGTACTGTAATCCACTGTAACTGGGCAAACCTAAATTTCCTGGTATATGCTTGTATCCCTTCCTTAAAATATAGGTGGTCTAGAGGTACCCTGAATGTAGCAATGGTCCAATGGGAAAGGATGGAGTGTAGGAGTCCCTAAACTCCATACCACCCCACTGAAAGCCAGTGCTCCTTCCCTTTCTTTTGCAGATGACACCACAGGCATTTTTTCCATCTACACTGTCTACCAAGGGCACGAGATAATGTTCCACGTCTCAACCATGCTTCCATATTCGAAAGAGAACAAACAGCAAGTATGTGGTTTTCCTATTGATTTTTCTTGGTTAGACCACAATCCACCGTCAAAGGAAGGAAAACACAGCAGCACTTCCAGGATGCACATTTTGGAAAAGTTTATGTGGAAGACCAGTTCCGTATACTCTGTTTTAAATGAGGACCTTGACGAGTTGGAGTCTGTTCAAGAGGAGGGTAGCCAGGATGGCAACGGGTTTGGTGACCCAAAAGAACTGGGTGTGCTTAAGCAGTGGAAGAGGAGGTTAAGGGGAGACACAGGCCACAGCACACACATTAAAGCACTTTGAACAGCCACTAACTGAAGCTAGTTAAGTGTACTGAGAGTTGATAGGAGACCCCTGTTTCCCTCCCAGAGCTACAATTCCCAGAGTGGTTCAACAACAAATCCCTTTCCACAGAAAAGTCTGGAAATCTTAGCTGCGTAGAAGGAATAAGGGTTTCGTAACAATTCTCAGCACCCTTAACAATTTTCAGCTCCTAGAGTTCTTTGGGGGCTCCCAGAATTCCATGACTGTTTAAAGTGGTATCATAGTTCTCTAAATGTGTGGTGTGGATGTAGCCCCTTCAGATATCTGAAGGGGCATCCTTGTTCTCTGGTAGCTCCGGATAGGAAGAGTAGGACCAACAGGTGGAAGCTCCCAGGAATACTGGTGGCTGTTGCCCATTGGGACGGGCAGGGCAGAAGGCAGGGAGGCCAACCGTAGGCAGAGCCAAGGCTAATGGCAGGCAGAACCAACTAATTCTAGTTTGTCCCCATCCTCCTCCTCCCTGCTGAGTTCTATAAGGAGCAGCACTGAAACTGAGGAGGAGGTTAATTAGTGCCACTCCCCTGGACTGGTTGTAGGAAGGGGGGGCTGGCTGGCTGGCTGGGAGAAGACTATTGTTGGTGGAGCAGGGCTCCATTCGCCTTAGTGGGCCTCTGCCAGAAAAGCAGGTTTTGGTTAAACGTTAGAAGAAGCCTCCTTGTGGCAAGAGCTGTCTGACAGCGGGGGAGGCTGGTCCAGGCGGTGGTGGCCTCTCCTTCTCTGGAGGTATTTAAATCAGAGGCTGGAACTTCATCCTGCAGTGCAGCCCTCCCTGGAGGGTTGGACTGGATTACATCCAAGGCTCTTTCCAGGCCTGTGGCCCAAATCTTAAGATAAGTTGACTATTTCCCCATCTCTTCATCCCTTCAGCATTTCCCACCCCCAAACTCCAAACATACCCAGTTCTCTTCAACCATTCCTCAGAGCCAAGTTCCAACAGCCGCCAAGGCTATGTTTTCTCCCCCACTGCCCTTCTGGATTCTGTAAATGAGGAGGGCCTTCCTTCTGAAAGACAGTTCCTGGGGCCAATCTCCTGAGCCTCACAGATCATGTTGTTACAAGTTAGAATTTTGCATCCCGATTGTTCAGATTTCATTTCACTCACTGTTCAAAGGCGTAGAAAACATGAACTGTCAGAGCTGGCAAGTTGAACCAAAAGATTCCCTTCTTTTGGTCCATTTCAAATTGAACATGAGACTCATCTGGATATTTTACTTGTTTTACACAGGTTTCATGAAGCCATGAACAGCTCTTTTTGTTGTTGTTGTTGTTTACAGGTGGAAAGGAAACGGCATATCGGGAACGACATTGTCACCATTGTGTTCCAAGAAGGAGAAGAATCCTCTCCAGCCTTTAAGCCATCCATGATCCGCTCCCACTTTACACGTATCTTTCGCCACTCCCTTTCCACTTCCTTAATTTTGTAAAATCAACTTGTTTTCCTTTTTTTCGGATTTAACTAAGGAGCTCAGCTCCACTCATGGGTCAGGGCTTCTGAGCATGTTGGAATATATTTCCCAAGCTTAAATATTCACAGGCCTGAGTTTCTTAGGGTCTCGATGTACACGTGATATTTGAGTCTGTTTTGTATTACATATCCAAACTAGAAGCGTGCAGATTTCAGGGTCTTTTCTCCTAGAAATTGAAGGCTGCTGCAAAATTAGAATTAAAGAATTCTGAGCCCAGTAATTTGTTTGGGCTTGTACGCAATTAAGCTATACGCAGAACAGGCCCACTGAAGTTATTGGAGCTAAGTTGGTCATGTGCATGAATTTCAGTAAGCCTAACTTTGGATACATAAGAAAAGTCCTGCTGGATCAGGCCATCCTGTTTTCCCATTGGCCAACCAGATGCCTATAGGAAGCTTGCAAGCCCTATGCGCTCCTGCAGTTTCCATCAACTGGTATTTAGAGACGTACTTCCTCCAACTATGGAGTCAGAGCATACAACCCTTTGAGTACCAGAAATGGATGGAGCCCATGGTTCTTCCATGCATAAATCCACTTCTGGTTATCACCAAGCTTAATCAGGGTTAAGGCAACAAACCACAGTTAAGCATTGACCACATTTGCATCCCACAATGAGCCAGGACTGCTGATTTATCACAGTTTAGTATGAATGAACAATGTGCTGGGGCATGCTTCCTGATCATTTCTGCTTCACCCCTCCCTTCCCCTAGCCTTGACTCCCCATCATCTCCAAACCGGAGGTTATAATTTGCTGCTCCTTCACAAGCTGCAAAAGTAAACCAGCAACAAACGATGGCTTAAGGTTGGCTAGCAATCGTGACTTGGGAGAAAGGAACCACAAACCCTGGTTTCGATATAACAGGAAGCCATGGCACCATGGATTATTTATTCTGCCTGTGCCTGGGAAGGAGTGAAGTGGGAACGATCAGCAGTATGTATCAGCATACTACTCATTCATGGTGTACAATGACGAGCCAAAAACCCTGGCTTAGCATGTGTGAACATTCTCTCTGCATCAGGTATTGCTGCTTTTCCAACAATATGAACTGCCCTGTGGTTCGTGTGATGAAAAGATATTCCAACATGTTCCTGTGTTTGATCTTTTAGTCGTCGTCCCCCCCCCCCCGCTTTCCCTCCCCTCCTTGTTATTTATTTCAACACAAATGGGGGGGGGAGCATTATCAAGAAACAAGTGGTTTCCATTGGCGTGGGAGTAATGGATTGAGCTCCTTAATTGATGCTGCAGATATTTTTGCCTTAGTGAGATATAATACGCAAAGTGATAGTTACAGGTGGGTGTCAACTGCAGACAAACCGTTCATTTCCTTAATTTGATATGACATGTTATGACTTTAGCTTCATGTAATATTGGTGAAAATGCACAGGGAGAGGGGGAAGTTTGAGACTAAAAAGCACGAGCGTAATTTTATTGGGGGGAAAAGAAGGAAGAAACCTCAATGTGCTCATGTTTCAGGCTTACAGACTCTCCCAGGGGTGTGTGGACATGGGGTCCCTTCTCAGACCTATTTTGAATGTCAGGAACATGTAAAGTAAGAAGAGAAGTTGTTTCTGAGAATGTGCAGAGTGCATTTTGGTTGTGACCAGCTAACAGCAGCCTGCATTATCTATGGGCTCCTTTGTGAGGAAGGACAGGATATAAACTGAATTCAAGAGGGGCCCCTCTGCTGATCTTAACACCTAAGAGAGTCTGTAGGGAAAATTGGATGGATGAAAGGTAAACCCTAAGCTGTGGAATTACCCCACCCACCCACCCACCCACCCACCCACACACACACAGAGGTGTAGCTGGCACATTTCATCGCATAGCTTTTGTTGTATGCTGAAAGTGTTTCTTTCCCCTGGCCTTTGACAACTGAGGTGTATGCCTTTAAAACATGGGTAGGCTAACTAAGGCCCGGGGGCCGGATCTGGCCCAATCGCCTTCTCATTCCGGCCCGTGGACAATCAGCGTGTTTTTACATGAGTAGAATGTGTGCTTTTATTTAAAATGCATCTCTGGGTTATTTGTGGGGCATAGGAATTCGTTCTTTCTCTCTTTTTCAAAATATAGTTCAGCCCCCACAAGGTCTGAGGGACAGTGGACCAGTCCCCTGCTGAAAAAGTTTGCTGACCCCTGCTTTAGAACCTACCATATTTATCTGAATAAAATCAGATTAAATAAATTACAAGCCTGTTTTTTTATATTGTTGTAACCTGTCCTGGGACCTTATGTTGAAAGGCAGGCAAGAAATCCAATTAGTAATGATGATGATGATGATGATGATGATAATAATAATAATAATAATAATAATAATAATAATAATAATAGAAGCCCATGGCTTCATTTTGCTTTATATTGGCTTCATATTGTAATAATAATATAGAAGCTGTGCCTAGGATTGCACAGCAAATCTCCTCCCCAAGTATAACAAAGCTGCCCCCCCACATCCCAAGTATGTATGTACTGTATGTATGTATGTAATTGCATTATTTCCCATTCATTTCTTTGTCTTATATTATATGTCCCCTTCTCTCTTTTGGCTTCCTTTCTGTTGAAGTTAGACTGTAAGCTCCTTGTGGGTAGAGACTTCTTACTTTGCTTCTGTGCCAGAAGTATCCACATAGCACTGCAATCTGATTAGTATTACATTCACACCCAAAGTGTCTCTACACCTTGCTAGAAGTGCTTGGAGAGGGGATGAGTTGAATTTTATGAATTTTTGGTTAGAGGCATGTAGCATTTGGAATAAAACCATGTCCTGCCCCAAATATCTGATGTGCCCTTTTCCCTAGGCTGAAAATCTTTTCGGAAGAAAGCGTACCTCTCTTTGGGCCTCCTCTTCCATCCCCACCAGTGTTTACGGACCACCAAGAATTCAGGGACTTCTTGCTGGTGAAATGTAAGCTGGATACGCCATTTTCAGATCAAAGAGGTCCTTGTATTAAGGCATTTAGTCTGCCATCCTGGACACATTTAGGAACATAGGAAGCTGCCTTACACCACAGCAGACCACATCTATCTCAGTAGTGCCTACTCTGACTTGCAGCGGCTCCCTGCGGTTTCGGGTAGGGAATCTTTCCCAGCTCTCCCTGGAGATGCCAGGGATTGAACCTGGTACCCTTTGCACTGCGCTGCACTGCTGAGTTGCAGCCCTTCCCTCTTAGAATCATAGAATTGGAGGAGAGTTGGAAGGACCCTGCGGGTCATCTAGTCCAACCCCCTGCAATGCAGGAATTCCAACGCTCAGTTCCCTATCCAGTTTGAAAGGACTCTGCTTAGCTTTGCAAATGTGCTAGAATAAACCCCCTTTGACAAAGTGGAGCATAATTATCAGGGCCAAACTGAATATGACTTTTCATAAGAACAATTTTTTTAAAAAACAACAACCCAACAATAATCTTTAATACAGTGGACGCTCACGTTGTGAACGTGATCTGTGCGGGATGCACGTTCACAACCCCCAGCGTTCGCAACCCACGTCTGCACATGCGCTGGTTGCGATTTGGCACTTCTGTGCATGCACGACCACCAAAACCCGGAAGTAACCCATTCTGGTACTTCTGGGTTTCGGCGGTCCGCAACCCAAAAAAACGCAACCTGAAGCAGCTGTAACCCAAGGTATGACTGTAGTTACAAAATGCCCAAAATGTTCTAAGTGCTGTACATATAGGAGCCCAGCCTCTGTGTCATAGTACATAACATGATCTGCATGGTATGTGACATGTCTTCTTTCTGTTTCCGTTGCCTTACAGTAATCAATGGGGAGAAAGCCACCTTGGAAACTCCAACATTTGCTCAGAAGCGGCAGCGTACTTTGGACATGCTGATCCGCTCTTTATACCAGGACCTCATGCCTGACATGCACAAGGTAAGCTCCGCCTCTTCTGTGGAACCTCAAAAAATGATTCTTGTGAAAGATGGTGGCGGTTGATCCAATGCCTCTGCCTTTCTTCTTATGCCTGGGATCTATGCGGTGCCTGCTCCCTCTCTCCCCATGCTTTCAAGAGCACAGGTCCATCATGATTTCTTTATTTTGGTCATGCTGGCATACGACAAAACTTTGGGAGCCAGCATCTAAATTCAAGGTTGAAATTCATAACTTGCATAGGAATTTCACTTGAGGTTTTTTGTCTGTGGTGTGCATAAGAAGAGCCTGTTCTGATATTGGACGAAGGGACCAGGGCCGTCTTTAGCAGATGTGGGTGCAAATATTCACCCAGCACCCCCAAATTACCACGGATAGTGTTGGGGTGGCCGTAGCCGTGCACTGCCAGCCATGGGGGGGTGCAACTCTCCCCCATGCTGCTGCGGGAGAGTGACGTTGCGCCCCTCCCAAGCCTCTGTGGGAGGAGATGTCAGGAGTTCAGCCTACAGTCGAGTAGGACCCTGGCAGAGACACATGCCTGACTCGCATGTTCCCTCCCTCCTGGAGTTTGCACAGTTGCTGCCATCTGTTACACAACTGAGCAAACTCTGCGGATCCCTTAGTGTGCTGGTGTCGGTTGGCATCGGTTGCTGTGATGTTTGGGCTGAAGAAAGCTTATGAAGCTCCCGAACGATCAACCAGGAGGGAGGGGAACACGCCAGTCGGGCATGTGTCTCTGCCAGAGTCCTACTCAAGTGTAGGCTGAACTCCTGACAGGAGAGTGCAGCTTCCCTTCCAAGCCTCCTCGGGAGGAGAGCGATCCCTGCAAGAGGCTTGGGAGGGAAGCTGTGTGCCCACCAGCCATATGGTTGGCGGAACGCAGCTTCCCTCCTAAGCCTCTGCAGGGATCGCTCTCCTCCCAAGGAGGCTTGGAAGGGAAGCTGCATGCCCGCCAGCCTTATTGTTGGCGGGGCACAGCTGGTGGGCATGTATGGAAAGGGGAGGCCGCCGGCAAAGCTGCGCAGCTCCCCCACTTGCTGGGGCGCCCCTGAGAGGCCAGTGCCCTGGCGTGATGCACCACTAAGCCCTATGGGAAAGACGGCTCTGGAAGGGACATAAGAAGCTGCCTTAAAATGAGTCAGACCCATTGTTCTATCTGGCTCAGTATTGTCTACACTGATTGGCAGCAGCTCCCCAGAGTTCCAGGCCTACTAGGAGATGGCAGGGAAGGGCCGTAGCTTAGCAGTGGAGCTTATTGTCTGCATGAAGAAGGTCCTGGGTTCAGTCCCCAACATCTTGGCTTAAAAGGACCACGTAGCAAGTAATAGGAAAGACTCTATGCCAGAAACCCTGGAAAGCAGCTGCCAGTCAGAGCAAGGGGGTAGACAAAAATATATTATTTGGTGTTCTTAAAGTTCAGAAAACTCATGTGGTGCAGTCTTCCTTGGACCACACTGTCGGAAGACAGTATAGTCTTCCTCAGACTATACGGCTTTGGAACACAGGTGAGAGATTCATGTGTTTGAACGCCTCCCTATGTCAAGAAAGCCCTTGTAAATAGAAAACTATCATGTTGCACAGAATTAAATTAAAAAACACCCCTAGGATGACACAGTTCAGTAAAACTCTGTTGTTGTTTTGCTTTCGTTTAGAACATGCTGAACAGGAGATCCTTCAGTGATGTCTTACCTGAGTCCCCAAAATCAGCCCGGAAGAAAGAAGAGGCCCGACAAGCTGAATTTGTCCGTCTTGGCCAGGTATGGTTCCTGAGTATTTGGGATTTGTGTTTCACTGTGGCTACTTGAGGTCTTTGAACAGCTAAACAGGCTGGGCAGTGCAATATGCACCAGTGAACTGCCTCTGACTCTCACACATCCAGGCTGTGAACACAGCACACACTGCTTCACAGAGTTACAGTTACCAACACCCTTAACGAACTACAATTCCCAGGATTCTTTGGGGGGGGGGAGAAATGTGCTTCAAAGGTATGGTGTGTGGAAACAGCCTCCCTACCTTTCTCTCTTTCTGTTCATCTCTTTCTCATAGGATGCCTATAGAATTTATTTTGTATTTTTTAAAAAGGTTTTTTGTTAAAAGATTTTCAAATATACATTTCCAAATTAAAATCTTTCATTATACCAGTACATTCAGCGACTTCCCTCCTTCCCCTTCCAAGTCTCCTTTAATTTAGCCACAACTCCTGCATATTCTTGTATATCCACTTAGTTCAATTTCTTCCCCTTTTTATATCCCTTTTAGATATGTTGTATTCAGTCCATTTGTGGGCTAACAAGATCCATGCTGCTGTTGTCGCATACATAAATATATTTTTCAGACACCTGGGTACCTCCGTCTGAACCATTCCTAACAGGAATGCCTCTGGGTTTGGGGAAAATGTTATTTTAAAATAGAATTTATTTTGTAATGCAGCACGTAAGTATAATAAACCAGGAGTGGTTTTTCAGCCTGAGCACCACATTCCCTTCTGAACAACCTTCCAAGTACCACAGGACAGTGGTGGGAGGAGCCAGAGGCTAAAATGGGTGTAATAACCACTGTAACTTTTACCTTTGCACAGTTCTATAGCTTCTCCACACACCCCGTTGCATCTTCCATCCTGACAAGTAAGAGACATGCTTATTAGAATTCAGTGACACTTTATAGCCAGGGGAAAGCATGCTAGGCACGAAGGAGGGCCGATGAAGTATGTAGCCTAGGGAAAGTTACAAGGGAGAGATAGAGAAGCCCAGAGGGCCACATTCAGCTCCTGGGCCTGTAGTAAATAAGCAAATAACAACTTTCAAAAGCACCCCACAGCCCTGAATAAGTAGCCAACTCTCAATAAGCTGTAGGAAATACAATGGGACCCTTGTCAAGATAATTCTTCAGGGTGATTGAGAGCTTTTGTTGATCATACTCAAAGAAGAGACATTGAAATCAATATACTTGATGCCATTAATTTAATGGGATATCCCTTGAAAGACCCCAGTCCAGAGCACTTTGTAAATATAGGCATGCCCTGCAAGGGGGGAGATTCCCCTCTAACAACTGATGCCACAGCAAAAGCTGCTTTTGAAATGTGCTGTTTCTTTGTGTGTTTACGAGACACTTTACAAAATAAATTCTCTAGACACTGTACAAATAAAAGGGGATAGAACAGAACAATAAAACTGCTACAATGAAAAGACAATAAGCTCTAGGGGCAGGTACAAAGCCAGAACAGTAAAATACCATGTGCAGCACAGAACTTAAACAGCCATTGGATACAGAGAAAGAAAAGAAAAAAGCCAGCCAGCCATGTCACAGGGACTTAGACCAGATCTTAAACGGCCTGGGAGAGCAGCAAATGATAACATGATACTACTGGAGATGAGGGTAGTTTACAACAAATTGGAGACATTGAAAGGGGATTAGACCCGATTCATGGAAGGCAAGGCTACCAGTGGCTGCTATCCTTGATGGCTACGTTCTGCCTCCGCAGTTGCTCCACAGTTGCACATCAGAGCTCCTTTGCAAAGGCATCTGGTTGGGCAGTGTGAGAACAGGATGCTAGTGTAGGTGGGCCACGGGCCTAATCCAGCAGGCTCCTCTTATGTTCATAATAGTCAAAACTGGCTTTAGGTTTGAGGGGGTCTTTGGCAAAGTTCACATTAGTGCCCCTGATCCCCAGGTTGGAGGTTTTCCTGTCAGAGCATCACTCCAGAACACCCGGGGGGGGGGCTTTATGTGGTGGTTTTCAGCTGCCTGGCATGGTGGGCCCAAGGCAGGTGTTGAGTACCTTTGGGTCCTGTCAGGGTACTAGGACCCCTGCAGCTGTCCATGGGTGCTGGGTGCTATTCTTCATCAACAGAGGTGGTGATGCTTCTGAACATCTGCTGCAGGAAACAGCGGGAGGGTTGTGTTCTTGCACTCAGGTTGTGCTTGTGGGCTTCCGGGGGGGGGGGAAATCTCATTGCCCAGTATGAGAACAGGATCCTGGACTAGAGGGGTCATTGACCTAATCCAGCAGGTCTCTTGTGTTAATATGACACCAGACCTGCTCCCAGGCTCTTGACTGCAATTATATTTGCATCAGCCCTCTGTGGTGCTATGCATCTTTATTTTCACAGCTTTAAAGAAAACCCTGAAAAACGCGCAACACATTCTATCAACGCCAAATTGATTTCCTCTCACCCTTGGAAAAAAAAAACCCCAACAAATTAGCACACCAAATGTTCGAGAGAGGGAGAATATTACGTCAGGCGTACCAATAGAAATGAGAGCAAAATCCTGTTCAACAAAGGCAGCAGCATCAAGTCCAAATTGCAAGCAAGGGCAATTAACAGGGGATCAGTTGTAAAGAAAACCAGGTTGAAACAGGAAGGAATTAGCAGGCTCTGAGAGCTCACTGGCTTCTCCTTTGCAGAGGGAAGGAGAAAACACAGTGTCTGCAGATCAAATAGAAAGTGGGTCAAAAAAAGATCTGGATTTGGGTAGCCCTTTGTGGCCGCAGTTTGGTAGCCTTCTTTGCAGCATGAAAGGAAGCAGCTTGCAAGTTCACAGTATCAGGAGAGGCCCTTCAACAGATAATGAGGCCCTGACTTTGATAAGAAAGATTATAGTGTTTCTCCTGGAGCAGTCAAGTACCCTCTTAGCAGATTTGCCAAATATGTCATTTCATGAAGTGTATCATTGTGTCCTTCCCAGAACCGCTGTACCTTTTACATGCTGAGATGGTTGCCATGGTGGTCTGGTGGGACTTTGTGCCCAGGACAGCGTGAGATGTATTTGTCACAATAAGTATAATTAATTCATGGGATTTTGCCTCCATGAGGTGTGCTGGTGGCCACTGGCTTTGATAGCTTTAAGCAAATTGTGGATAATTTTGATGATGGCTGTTAGCCATGATGGCAAGATTGAGCATCTATGGTCAGAGGCAAGCTGTCTTTGAATACCAGAAACTAGGGATATGCAGAAAGGGAGAGTTGTTGCCTTCATACTTGTAGAGGGCATCAAAACAAAACATCCAAAAATGGAGATGTCCCCAACGCACCATGGAAAACAGGTAAATTGTCAGGCCCAGCCCACTTTGATCAAAGACTCTGATCAATATCAGAGTATTGATTAGGAAGGGGGGACATACTGCTTTGTTTTCAGTCAGTGCATGTCCTATAACTTTCTGCTGAAACCATACAACTTTAAATACCACAAATATTTTGGTTTATTTTTTGCCCTCCTTTCATTGTGCCATAGGGCAGGAGAGCCCCTCTAGATAGCAATAATGTGGTAACATTGGGGAAGCATTGCACTACAGCCAATAAAGCAGAATGCCGTGTGGATGGTCCAGTATAAACCTGTGATTAATGTATTATCATTACATAATTGACATGTTGTTGAATACACCTGTCAGAGGGGGGACAACCCAGCCTAGATGTTCCTTATGGCCATCCTTGTGCAGTGGAAGAGTGTTTCTTCACTGTACCATGCAGATAACACATGTGAAACAGGCACTCCATATGGAGGCCGGCATGTAAGTAAATCAGTCTTTACAGTCTCACGCCCTCTCACCACCACAAACTTTATAAAGGAAGGGGTCATGGCTCACTTGGTGAAAGCAAAATATGTCTCTGGCATTCTAGTTAATGGGATCTGCAGTAGAAAGGCAGTAGAGTCAGGGAATCACCTGAGACCCATGAGAGCTGCTGTCAAGACTGACTCCATATAAGACTGACTTCATATTCTCTCTCGCTCTCTCTTGTGTGTGTGTGTCTTTTTTTTTTAAGGCACTCAAACTCAAAACCATTGTGAGAGGCGATGCCCCAGCTATTCTGGCTTCCACGAGCCTCTGTAAAAAGGAGGTGAGTGAATGGTTAACAGGTAAATCTTCGGGGGAGGATAGGAGGTGAGTTGGCTCAAGAGCCTGGTATGGTTTCTGATTGCTGTGGATAATAGGTTTGTGCTTAGAAGCAAACCACAGTGCAAAATAGAGGTTTTGAAAATATGTAAATATGCATGATTTAGACAGGTCACATAAGTTACATTTTATTTTCATTTTTATTATTAGCCTTGGCGTTTCTTTTTTTATCCTCAGCTAACTGAGGGATTTCTGCTTCCCCAAGGGATGCAAAGCAACCTCTTGAACTCACCTCTGTACATCAGTATGTTGTGACTCTAGTGCTTAGCACCCTTCCCTGTTATGCTCACCAGTTCACGGTTCTCTTGTTCCACAGCCCTGGGAGTCCCAGTGCTTCTGCAGCAATTTCCCTCATGATGTTTTCTGCGCAGATTCCTGGGGCCAGTCACTGCTCGTCTCTACAGATGTTGGTGTCCTCCTCTTAGATGGTTGGTGGATGACCCTGTGATTGTTAGCATGTGCTGACCTGGTTGCCTTACATTCCCCTACCCCCAATTGATTTCTGTAATGTAGCTTATGTGGGGCTTCCTTCATATCTGGCCTGAAGGCTGCTAGTGAGGCCAGACTCCTCACGGGAGCAGGCTGCTGGTTATATGTTACCACTCTGCTGAGAGGGTTGCACTGGTTGTCAATTTGCCACCAAGCCAGGTTCTAGGTACTTGGGTTAATTCACAGAGCCCTTAATCACTTTGGCCCAAAGTATTAATGACCGTCTGATCCCTTATGCTCCACCTCCATCACTAAGATCTTCTGATGAGGCACTTCTGGTGGTTCTCCACATGCCTGACACTCGGTTTGCTGAGCATTGAGCCTTTAGGTTTGGCAGGCCCTGCCCTGTGGAGCAGCCTGCCAGTAGAGGTTTAGCAGGAATAATCTCTGCCTCCTTTTAGATGGCACGTACAATGGTGCTATTTAGAAAGGCCTTTGAAATCTGAATATTATTGAAACCAGCCAATATATATGGATTTCCCCCTTGATGTTTTGATCTGAGCCTTGACACAGAGTCTCTTGAATTTTTCCTTCCAGATGGGCAGCCTCCCATCCCAGTGTTTGATAAAACTTTACAGATCAAACAGATGCATGTATTGGAAACTCTGGACCTTCTCATTACTAGAGCGGACAAAGGTAAGGCACGTAAGCCTGTCTGGGAGGAAATGTCATTTCCCTGGGCAAGCTTGTGGTAGAAGCATAACTGCTTCGCTGGAGGTATTTTAGCTTAGGCTGGATCTTCCAGGGTCCTGCATTTATTTTGTATGATATTGTATCTACTGTTTTAACCTTCTGTAAGCCCTTTGAATGCAAAACTACATCTTGTGTCCGATCTCTGGATGCTGGGATTTGTTGAAGAAAGACAGCTGGATGGAATGTCCTGGATTGCCTGGGACTGTGGCCTGCAGTAGACAACAAAACAAACCATGACTGCCTTTGGTGCATGACACTTCAGAAACAACCCACAGCCTCCCTCCTTTTAGCTGTCCCTGTAACATGTCTATTTGTGTGTCTCCCACCTGACAGGGAAGGACGCTCGCCTCCTCGTCTTCCGGCTGAGTGCCGTACAGAAAGGCATGGAATCCAAGCAAGCCAGAAGCAAGTGTGACTGCCGAGAGAACAAACTGGAGAAAACGAAAGGTGCTTATGGCAGGGGGTGGGGGAGCTTTTTCAGCCTAGGGGCTGCCTTCCCTTCGGGTAACCTCCTGGGGGGCCACATGCTTGAGGCAAAAGGAGGTGGGGCAACAAATATGCACAATAGCCTTTGCACAGCAGGCTAGATTCTTCATGCACATACACACACCATTCTATTCTCCACACAGCCAAGGAGTTCGAGTTCAGGGACACGTTCCGACCTGATAAAAACATTCATTGAGGGTATGAATCAGCGCTGGAGAGGGGTGTGGCCTGGGTAGAGTATGACAGTAGTGCTGAGATCAGGCAGTGGGTCTCAGCCAACCAACCAACCAGCTGAACGATGCTTTAAGGGATCACAAGGTTGTGAACATGTGAAACTGCCTTATCTTGGAGTCATCTGGCCTACTATTGTTGGCGGCTTTCTAGTGTCGGTGGCTTCCCCATCCTTGACGTCCTCTTTATACAGGGAATCTGGGGGTTTGAACCTGGGAGTCTGTTGTCGGTTGGCGGAGTATATGCTCTTATTATTGACCAAGGTGCCTGTCCTTGCATTACAGAGTTTTCCTGTAAGAACACCCCTGCATTAAAGCAGGCTGATTTCAGGTGTCAGGGGACAGCAGCACAGCTTAAGCCAATAGTTTTGGGTAGGTGAATGAGTGGAAACTACAAAACTGAATTTCTTCCCTCTCCTCAGTCTCTAGTCAAGCTCAAGTCCCACACGGACCACAGCATAGCACTTAGTCTCTGGGGAAGGGTCATAGGTCAGTGGTGCAGAGTTTGTTCTGTATGAAGAATGTCCCAGGTTCAAACCCCGGCAACTCCAGTAGGGCTGAGAGAGGCCCTTTTCTGAAATCCTGGACCACAGCTGCTAGTCAGCAAAGACAGTGCTGGTCTAAATGGTCCAATAGTCTGACTCAGTATAAGGCAGGTTCCTACGTCAATGCAGCTGGGCAGTGATGCCTTCTGTTCCTTTGCAAGAAGCAGCTAGATGTGGTGGTGCTAAAACATTTCTCCTGTGACCCAGAGCATGATCTGCTGTGGTCAGTTTGCAGCTCTCCTCTCCCATCCCTCTGAGCCAGGCTTTCCTTTGGGACATTTCTCAGAGCTGTGCTTGACACACACACACACACCCTCAACTGAACCTTTGTTGCCCAGGCTGCCATCTGTATGCCATCAACACCCACCACAGCAACGAGCTGCGGATCATCGCATCCATCCGGAACAAGCTGCTTCTCATCACCAGGAAGTTCAAGCAGTGGGAGGGTCTGACCAGTGGCCTCTCGTTGTCGCCTCAGTCAGAGTCCCCAGTTGAAGAATTCCAGTACATCCGGGTAGGTTTGAGGTAAAGCACCGGCAAACTACCACCGTCCACACATGCCTCCTCCTCTTTGGGTGCCTGGCGGAAAACGGTAAGCTGCCCCTTTAAGCCTAGAAGCTGATTCAGTCTTCCTGATCTTTAAAAATCCTTCAGAGAGGCCATGGGGCCCACGATCAAGAGGGGAAACTTTGGCCTTCCCAGTGTTATTGGGACTTCCAACTCCCACCATCCCTGAGCACACTGGCCAGCCCATCAGCGCCTGGAGGGCCACAGATTTCCCCACCCTTGCCATAAAAGCAGCAACAGCTTAAAATTATAGGCCAGTGGGAGGAAGGTGTCACCAAGCCGTTTCAGCCAATGGATGCATTTGGAATGCTGAGAAAGTTCTTTGGGCGCCAGTCACTAAACGGGTTGCATAAGGGCTTCCATATCTTTACAAAAAATGCAGAAAAGGAGGACCATAAAATGGTTCAGGCACACACACACTATTCAGCCATCCCATCAATGGGAAAAGGCACCTACATCAGCCGCCACCATGCTCACTCACAGAGAGAGAAGTTTTTCACACCTCAGCTCAGGTTTTAGGGGGGGTGTTCAGTGTAGGAGAGGCCAAGCCAATGCAAACAGGGACTGAGTAGGGAGAGCAAGCAGCCATTCATCTATTGCAGATTTTTGAGGGAATATTTACCAAGACCTCTCACAGACACCAGAGAGGGTCCTGATAGGATGGGCAAAATGGCCTCCATGGGTGCTGCATAGGCAACCTGTGTTCTAGACCAACAAACCTCCTTCAGTTCAGAGCAGCTTGGAATAGCCAAGTCTTCATTTGACCCTAACCAGAGAGGGCACCAGACACACATCCAGCAAGAGAGAGTTCCATATGGACAGGGCACACTGATAGGGCACAGAGGCCTCATTTCTAGGGCCTATCAGCTTGATGGATCTTCATAGCAGGTCTGTGGGCAAAGCCTCCATGCCTGATCTGTGCATGCATATCAGCCTTTATCATGCTCTTCTAACTTTAGATACCTTTTTATTAACTAAAATGTTTAAAATGCAATTGATTTATTGTGGAAGGTTCTGCAATTTCTGTTGTTGTATTGGTAACCCTTTTCTGTACCTGAGATCCTCAAGAAGTCTGAATTTGGTGTCCTGCATCTCTGTTCATGTACACACACAATACCTCTAATGCAGCATTGTTTGGGGATTGCAGGAGATCTGCTTGTCTGACCCCCCTGTTGTCATGACATTGGTGGACGGGCCCACGGGGGAAAATGACAACCTGATTTGCGTCGCCTACCGGCACCAGTTTGACTTGATCAATGAGAGCACGGGCGAATCCTACAGATTGCACCATGTCGACTCGAGCAGGGTAAGTTCATTGGGTGTCACAGCAGTTTGCTGAAGCTGCTGTCCCTTGTTTCCCTCGAAAGGGTCTCAGCCTCCTCACCCCCAAGGCTGCCCGAGCAAAAATGCAGTTGATCTCAGGATCAGGGCCATCTCCTGCACTACACCTGATGTCTACTGTCAACCTGATTCAGTTGATTAAAAAGGCAATCCTAGGTGATGAATCAGTCAAAATGAAATACTTTTGTCCTGTTACTTCCTGTGATTTTTTTTTTACCGTCAAGATCACTGGGATTTCTAAACATGCTTAACTTGGACTGGGTCATGCCCCCTGTGCCAGAAAACCAAAATGTATAATAACAGAAGCAGCACTTCTGCAGTTGTTTACTTAGGCTTTGAATTAGAAGTGTACGTAAAACAATTAGATTAAATTACAGACTAGATGCACGTGCCAGAATTTAGAAACGTTTGATGGGAATGGGATGGGAAGCGGGGGGTGGGGGGTGGGACTTCTCCTTTTTCTCCTGATACAAAACCGCTGAATTGTTCTCAAAGAGTTCGTAGGAAGCTCAGCCTCCAGCCTGCCCACTACCCTTGCCCGTTATCATTGCAGGTTAATTTTGTTGCAGCTATTGATGTGTATGAAGATGGAGAAGCTGGCCTGCTCTTGTGTTATAACTGTAAGTACTGTTAACTCGCTCTGTCCAGGGAGACGGTCTGGGGTTTGTCTATGGTTCCGTCTTGCATCAGTGCAGAATGGACATTTAAGGAATAAGACTTGCTTTGCACAGGAGAGGCAGTAAGGTAGAATAGGGATTGCTAGAGCTGAAGAGAAACACCCTCTGCTGGCAGTCAGGAAAGCAATGGTGGTTGGGGTGTTTACGTGCATGTGCTTGCGTGTGCACTTGAAAGCAGGGAGGCCTACCTGTGGAAATCAGAGGATGTTATTGAGATGATGCAACTTCAAGAATTTGCTTACTTTCCTCCCATTCCTTTTTTCCTTTTGCATAATGTCTGTTGGATTATGAACCTGCAGGCAGGGATTCTCTCATCTTTGATGCAAAACATAAAACAGTTGGAAAACGTTAGGTGCTTTATAAATGATATTATCATATTTTATTTTTATAAGTGATATTATTAATGTCACTGTCATTTATAAAGTGGTAATAATAGTTCTACTAAGAGTACCTTAATTATGTTATTGGATATAGCCCAATCATCATCATCATCATCATCATCATATTTCATAGAATTACAGAATCATAGAGTTGGAAGGGACCCTGAGGGTCATCTAGTCCAACCCAATGCAATGCAGGAATCTCAACTAATGCATCCATGACAGGTGGTCATCTTGCCATAGGACTGCCCCCATAGGCATGAAAAGCATTTCTTCTCTTGCACATATGCCCCGGAATATATGTCCACTGCACATTAATGATTGATAAATAATATAATATAGTATAAGATAATATAATATAATAAGACAGTTATACAATTTAAATAGAATAAGGATAATAGTAAACAGTTTGTTTGGAAAGGGGCAGAAGTAAGAGAAGAGAAAGACGGACTTGCTTTCCTGCTGGTTGCACATGTTCTTTGCATAAGCAGCACACGCTGGTGAGTGGGCAGCTGACAGGTGCATCAAAACAGCTGCCAGAAGTCGAAGTGAGCCTGGACTGATGCATTGGGCAGCCACTAAGCCTTCTCTTCTCCATTATCCTTATCCAAAACAAGGAGGGGCTCAAGTGGGTTGATGGTAGAATGCAGTAGATGGCCAACCCCCAAATCTTGCCCTCCCTTTTCCACTAGAATAGGCAAATGAGCCCACACCTAGTGGTAGTGGTGAAATTAGTCTATGCAGCTTGACTTGAAGGCAGAAAGACGAGGAATCTGGAAAGGTTTCTGCCTTCTGGCCACTTTGGCCATCACCCCACTTGCCAGTCCTCTGATTCTAGGTGAAGCTGACTTGAGCAAGAATCTCAGTTTCTTGTCAGTATATCTTATTGGCAAAGCAAAGCTAGGAACCTGGATGAGCAAAAGCCCTCGCACATGTGGACAAAGCAGAAGAGCAAGGAGAAAGCAAGCGCCAAACTTCCATTTCATAGAACTGTAGAGTCGAAAGGGGGCCTCCTGGCATGTTATGGGCTGTGCAATGCAGGGGGCAACAGCAGCATCTCTGGCATATGGGCCATCCAGCCTCTGCTTAAAATACCACCTCCTGCTCGGGCAGACTGTTCCGCAGTGAAACAGCTGTTACCTTTAGGAAGATTCTCCTCACATTTAGCCAAAATCTGCTTTCCTTCCATTTCTGTCTTCAATGCAGTGCTTTTTTTCTGGGAGTACGCAGGGGTATGCATACCCCTAAACATTTTGAGAATTTGGCCTCATTGAGGGGCAGTATTTCAATATGAGTAGGAAAATGAGAGTATCCCTAAACATTTTTTAAGGAAAAACAAGCACTGCTTCTATGTATTTGAAAACAGCTCTCCTCTCTCCCATGTTGAAGGTTGCCAATTCCACTTTGGCATTGACTAGATGCTTGAGCATAGAGTAGCTGAGGTCTTTCCCAGCGAAATGGTGAGGCTGCAACAGGAGAAAGCTTCGCTCCTTCTAATTTCTGTGTTCCTGGCTATTGTCACGGGAGCAGGGCCAGTGACATTGCTTGGCTGCCTTGTTTTTCTACATTTAGTGTCAAGGTCTATGTTTCTTTATTTGCTTGAAGTTAACAGGGGTCTCTTGTTACAGATGTCTGCTATTACCGCAAAGTGTGCCCCTTCAATGGGGGCTCGCCTTTGGTCCAGCCATCAGCATCTGACTTCCACTTCAGCTGGAACCAGGTTCCTTATGCCATTGGTAAGAAGGACCAGTTGCCTCCCCCTTTCCGATAAGTCTCTGCTGCTGTGTGAAGCCATTGTAATGTGGAGGGACAGCCTCTATGGGCAGGCAGAGGGAGGGAGGAGGACAATGCGGTGGCAGGAAAAGAGAAAAGGGGGTGGTAGTCAGCAAGGAGTGCGGCCCTAAACAGAAAAAGGTTGTCCATCCTTAAAAGGTAAAGGGACCCCTGACCGTTAGGTCCAGTCGTGACCAACTCTGGGGTTGTGGTGCTCATCTCGCTTTACTGGCCGAAGGAGCTGGCGTACAGCTTCTGGGTCATGTGGCCAGCATGACCAAGCCACTTCTGGCAAACTAGAGCAGCGCACGGAAACACTGTTTACCTTCCCGCCGGAGTGGTACCTATTTATCTACTTGCACTTTGACGTGCTTTCGAACTGCTAGGTGGGCAGGAGCAGGGACTGAGCAACAGGAGCTCACCCCGTCGTGGGGATTCGAACCGCCAACCTTCTGATCGGCAAGTCCTAGGCTCTGAGTTTAACCCACAGCGTCACCCGTGCCCATCCTTAGCCTGCCTTAATTGTTTTGATCACATTATGCCCCTGTGTAACACAGAGACACCCATCAGTTTCCTGTCTGCTCCTGGATCCAGTACACAAATGCCTCCTCCTGACTTCAGAGACTGCCATTGCCCTGACCCGTCTCTCCTCCCTTATATCCCTGCCCTTTGCTCCACTACCCTCAACTGTCCAAAGCTCTCTTGCTCCACCTTTTCCTCTCTTTCTGCTACTTCTTCTGCCTGAAGCACCTGCACAATACCTTCCTCTCTCCCTTCAAATCTCTCTGTCCTCAAAACCCACATTTTCTGGGAAGCCTTTGGCACAACCCCATCAGCTTCACCCCCTCCTAAAAACAGAGCTTTAGTACGTGCAACTGAGCAGACCTGAAGAGTCTTCTTCCCCTCTCCATTGCCTCTGTCTTCCTCCCCTTAGTTAAATTTTAGGGGCAGGAATCTGTTTTTGATTTTGTTGGACTTTGATGGTGCTATGTAAGTCAGTAATAACATGGTAAAGGCTTATTTTAGATCAGGAAAACTTCAGAGCTTCATGATGCTTAGGACTGACAACATGTGCAGAGAAGCCCATCATATACCATGTTGCATTTATTTCTTCATAAAATGCTTTTGTCTCCTCCTGCAGTTTGCGCTTTCCCCTATATTTTGGCCTTCACCACCGATTCCATTGAGATCCGATTAGTGGTGAATGGGAACCTCGTCCACACAGCTGTGGTCCCTGCGCTTCAGCTGGTGGCATCAAGGGTAAGGCAGTCAGATAAGAAATCTGGTTTCCTGTGCAAAATTCCCCTTCTTCTAGACATGCCTCTTCTAGCACTACAAAGGCAGAATCATAGAATTGTAGATTTGGAAGGGACCCTGTGTTTCATATTACGACTGCCTCATTTAACCCATAAGCCCACTAAACAAGCGGGACATGCAACAAAACTTTACTGTGTGATATTTCTGTTCAGGCTGCCGGCCAGCTGGCCATGCTCTTTTCCATGATATTCAATTCCCACTCACTTTTCTGGGTTTTCTCCCTAACTGCCAGACAGCATTCTGTGCTCACTGAGTATCCTCTGTACCCACTGACCTATTTTGCCCTCATTGCTGCCCAAGGTATCCCTCCCTGGACAAACATTTTGGTACTTATACAAACCTTGGGGTTTCCTTTTTGTGGGTGCCATTGGAGATGTTTGTGGGCACACGGGTACCACCGTGACAATCCATAGCTTCAGATAAGTCCACTTTGCTAACACAGCCTCTTTCTCCTTCCAGTCAGATATCTATTTCAGAGCCGTAACGGCAGTGAGCGAGCCATCCAACGGCAGTTCCAAGGAGACTAATTCACCTACTACCCCTCAGACGCCATCAGTCAATGAAATCCCTGTTTTCTCTCCTTCCGCAGCAGAAGGTAAGGAAGGGGCTGAGGCCAACTGAGAATTTGTTGCTTCTGTAGTATGTTCAGCTAAAGCAGTGGTTCTCAACCTGTGGGTCCCCAGATGTTGTTGAACTACAACTCTCATCATCCCTGAGCTCTGGCCTTGCTAGCTAGGGGTGATGGGAGTTGTAGTTCAACAACATCTGGGGACCCACAGGTTGAAAAAGGCTGAGCTAAAGCATCAGTCTTCAAACTTTGTGGGCTTGAAACTGTCCTTTTATCCCAAATCTGCACAATGTCGGACTTAGGGAGATAGGAAGGCATATTTTTCCATTCTGTGTTCATTGCATGCAGTGCTGCTTCTGTTCCACTGCAGTCATCTTCCACCTAAAGTTATTTGCCTTGCTATCATCTGCGGTGAAATTAACTGATTTGTGTGATTCACCAATTAAATGTGTAAAATGTTGTGGTTTTTTAGCTAAGCCAATTCAGATGCATAGATGTTACATGTTTTATTTCTTTTGTTTTATTTCTTTTTAGCTACTGCTGTTTTTAACCATATTGTAAATACCTGTTTTTTAAACTAGTTTTTAAATGGATAATCTTAATGTTTTATTTTAAATTTTTGCAAACTGCTTAGAGGTTTTGCTTTGTTTTGCATTCAAGTGGTATATAAATTTTGTTAAATAAATAAATAAATCTGGCATAAGAGTGCTAACTTCATATAAAATCGGTTGGTCTTTTTAAGGGAGTATAGGATCAATTGAAGAAGGATTAGGTGAATTAAGAAAAATGAAGTGTGGATCTAATTAATGGAGTCATTTGTTTTACTTATAGGTTATAGAAAACAATGAACACTATAAAGGAAAAAATAGTGTTATATATTATAGTAGATCAAATATTACGTTACATAGAAGATTCTTAATCCTTTTTGTAGAATACTTTAAGAAATGTAATTTGAAATACTGTTCAAGGAATGTAATTTGAAATACTATTCAAGGGGGGAAGGGTTTAATTTATGTTTATGCTTCAGTCAATATTACTTTTGTAATACAGTGTGGTAAGGAAAAAAATAACAAATTAGAAAATTAATAAAAATAATAAATCAATAAGGCACACCTGGAGCATGTGGACTATTTAAACCCCTTCCAGTCAGGTTTTAGGCTCCACCATGCGACTGAAACTGCCTTGGACATGCTGGTTGATGATCTCTGGTGGGCTAGGGACAGAGATGAAAGCTGTTTCCTGGTTCTGCTGGATCTCTCAGCAGCTTTTGATACTGTCAACCACAGTATCCTCCAGGGCCAACTAGGAGGGCTGGGGGCAATGGTTTCGCTCCTTCCTCCTAGATTGTGTCTAGAAAGTAGTGGTGGGGGATTAATGTTCAAACCCCATGGCGCTCACTTGTGGGGTGCCCCAGGGCTCCAAACTCTCCCCCATTCTTTTTAACATCTATATGAAACCGCTGGGTTTGGGCTGGGTGTTCATCAGTAAGCGAATTATACCCAGTTCTACCTTTCTTTTAATTCAGAACCAGTGAAGGCAGTGAACATCCTGTGTGGGTGTCTGTAGGCAGTTGGGGGGAGGGGTAGATGGCAGTCAACAGATTGAGGTTGAATCCCGACAAAACAGAAGTACTGTTTCTGGGGGACAGGGGGCGGGCAGGTGGGGGGACTCCCTGGTCCTGAGTGGAGTAACTGTGCCCCTAAAGGACTCACAGCTGTCCATGGAGGCACAAGCCAAGGGCACCAGTGTCCAGGGCAGCTGTCTACCAGCTCCATCTAGTACACCAGCTTGGACCCTACCTGCCCGCACACTGTCTTGCCAGATTGGTACATACTCTGGTTATCTCCCGCTTGGACTACTGCAATGTGCTGTATGTGGAGCTACCTTTGAAGGTGATTCAGAAACTACAATTAATCCAGAATGCGGCTGCCAGACTGGTTACTGGGAGCTGCCACCGGGACCATATAACACTGGTCCTAAAAGATCTACATTGGCTCCCAATACATTTCCTAGCACAAATCAAAGTTTTGGTGCTGACCTTTAAATTCCTAAATAGCTTTGGTCCTGTATACTTGAAGGAGCGTCTCCGCTCCCATCGTTCAGCCCGGACACTGAGATCCTTCTCCGAGGGCCTTCTGGTGGTTCCCTCATTGTGAGAAGTGAGGTTACAGGGAACCAGGGCGCATGGGTACGGCCTTCTCGGTAGTCACACCCTCTCTTAGAACACCCTCCCACCAGGTGGCAAGGAAACAAACAATTATCTGACTTTTGGAAGACATCTGAAGGCATCCCAAATAGGGAAGTTTTTAATGTGCAATGTTTTCCTGTGGTTTTATAATTTGCTGGAAGCCACCCAGAGTGGCTGGGGCAACCCAGTCAGATGGGCAGCATATAAATAATACATGATTGTTATTATTATAAGGAGGGTAAAAGAGTTTTTTTGTGGACCGCCAACTCACCCGCAAGCCTGCTTATAGTCAACTCCTGCTCCACGACCCTCCTCCTCCTTGTCACTTCAGGTGAAGCTCTGTGCAAAAACATCTACAAGATCCCCCTGAGCAACCTGGTCGGCAGGAGCATCGAACGCCCACTCAAGTCCCCCATGGTCCCCAAAGTCATCACCACCCCGACGTCGGCCAGCAGCGCCTCCATCCCTGTCGCTCCTTCCCTCTCTTTGTCGCGCATAGAGATCAAAGAAATCGCAACCCGGACACGCAAAGAATTACTTGGTAAAGTAATAGGGCCATCCAGGGGCATAGGCAGCAAGGGATCCTGGCGGCAGCACTGCCAGGCACACTGAGATATTTGGATGTAGCCATGATCTATATTGGAATTGTAATGGGTGAAAATGCAACACCCTGGTGCTGGAGTTCGTTTGTCAAGATGCTATTGACTGACACTGCAGGTATTGATCTCTCACTCAGGCTTGCTTGAATCTCTTGACTGTGGCATGGGCTAGTCTGCTTGTCTGTTCAGGGGCTTGCAGATTTCAGCAGAATATGGTAGCCAAGCCCTCCCCAAACCCCGTGGTTGTCAGGAATCTGACCTCAAACTGTGTGCCTCTGTATTGTGAGATCAAGGACAATCTCCTCCTTTTTGGTGGGGATTGTTGCTCTGCCACCTTTCCAGCTCCAAATTTGGAGCTTGTGATTTGTAACTAAGTTGCCAAGGCACCTAAAGAGCCTTAGCCCCCTTGGGACCCCAAATGGTGAATCCCAGCCTCTCTCACCAGCTTGGATCTGGAGAGGAGGGCAGTGATCTCCCCTGTCACTGACCAGCAAAGCTCAGCACTATGGCAGTGGTCCAAGCTGGAGAGGAAAGCCAAGAGACTTCTCATCACCCTTTGCCAAAGGCAGCAAAAGGCTCACTACAGTGATGACAGCTAGACGATTTATAGATTCCCCCATTTGTTGTTGTATTACACTTACCAGTGATCACCTCGGAGGCCCCTTTGGGAAACGGCCAGGTGGAGTTAGTCATTGACAAATGAAACAATTCCATTGCCTTTACTCTGAGAATTCAGAAGCATTCCTTTCTTCTTCATCCAGGTCTTCTAGACGGCCAAGGTCCCAAGTCGGAGGGAGGACAGAAGCAGAAGAAAACCCCCCAGAAACAGTCAGACCCCAAGCCAGGAACAGTACGGTCAACAAGTAGTGACAGGTAACATATAGAAAGGTGCAATTCTTTGAGGGGCAGAAGCAGCACTCTGAACAAGAGTCCATATTCTCATTGCATCTGCAGCCCCTAAACTGCCTATTAGGTCAGAATCATGTTGCATACTCCCAATTGAATGCCTTCCTTTAATTCTTTGTAAAACCTGCCAGCAGCAAGGGGTGGGAGGCTTCTAACCACCACTGCCCCCATCCAAGGTCTTGATCCAAATCACACATAGCTAGAGCTGCATAAAGGAGAACTCTCCAGCTGCTTGAAGCAGTATGCTTTTGGACACAAGTTGCTGGGAATTGTAATTGGTGGAGACTGCTGTTCTGCTTCTGGTCCCACCTGCAGGCTTCTCATTAGGGCATCTGGTAGGCCATTGTGAGAACAGGATGCTAGACTAGGTGGTCCTTTGGCCTTATTCAGCAGGGCTCTTCTTACCTTACATGTAAGGTACATGTGCTACAAAATGTAGTTAAGACCACCAAGTAAAGGGACCCCTGACCACTAGGTCGTGTCGCGGATGACTCTGGGGTTGCGGCGCTCATCATGCTTTATTGGCCGAGGGAGCCGGCGTACAGCTTCCGGGTCATGACTAAGCTGCTTCTGGTGAACCAGAGCAGCGCACGGAAACGCCGTTTACCTTCCTGCTGGAGCGGTACCTATTTATCTACTTGCACTTTGAGGTGCTTTCGAACTGCTAGGTTGGCAGGAGCAGGGACCGAGCAACGGGAGCTCACCCCGTCAGGGGGATTCGAACCGCCGACCTTCTGATCGGCAAGTCCTAGGCTCTGTGGTTTAACCCACGGTGCCACCCGCGTCCCACCTACCAAGAGGATTAGGCAAATTCATGGAGGATAAGCCTATCAATGGCTACTAGCCGCAATGGCTATGTTAGACCTCCTCTGTCTGAAGCCATCACCTCCAAAGTGTTGTTATTTGTGGACCTTAAGGTCCTCTGCGGGGCATACCAAGAGAGGTGGTCCCATAGGTTTGTGGGTCCTAGGCCGCATAGGGTGCCCCAACTTTTAATAGCAAGTGGACCATGAGTACTTTAACATGGGACCCATAGGCCACACACTGCCTTGTCGTGGGGGGGCGGGGTGAGCAAGGCCAAAACCTGACACATACCCAGCTGGGAAGGTGCTAACTAGGCTTTGGGATGGAGGTGAGAGCACTCTAGGATCCTGTCAGAGCTGCCATCCTTCCCTGGCTTTGGGAAGGCAACATAAGGGCTGTGGGAGGTGTCAAATGTTGAACTGCCCTGGTCTAGCAAATGGAAGGAGCTGTACATGGTAAGAGAGAATAAACATTTGATCTGCTGTGATCACAGGTTATGGATCTTTTTTGTGGCGGAGGTGAGGGGTGCTTGAATTTTCCTTTCTTGATTTCTGCCTTCCTCTCCACAGGCTCGTTGCATGCTCTTTCGAAAGCACTTCTGAAGAGCGCCACTTCTCCACCAGTTCAGACCCCGACACCACTACACGGGACGAGAGCCCCCAGTCCAGCAGCCTCTTTCAGCTTGGGGCTTCCTTTGACGAAGACATCATTGACTTGAAGTGAAGACAATCTGGACACAGCACTTGCACACCTTCCCTGACCCCCCCACCCCCCATTTGTTATGACTCTCTAAACAGTATCACACTACATTTTCTGATAATTCTGATAATACAGAATATATACATAGGCAATCAAGATCTAGAATGCCCAGTATTTCCAGCTTATTCAGATGGAAAGGGCAGGCGGGACGTAGCATATTTTATTCTCCTTGGTTGAATATTAGGGCACTCACCCCATCACAGGAATCTCAGCTGGTGGAGCAGACGAGTTTTAATCAGTTAATTGATTAAAGCGTATATGACTTAAACATTAGTTTTCAGTTTAAAAAGGCTGTCCACGTTTGGGGGGATCGGACAACTTGTTATAAACTCCACAGTGACACAAAGCTGGGAGATCCTCCTAAGCCCCCCCCCCAACACATTTTGTAGGAACATAGGGAGCCGCTGTATACCAGTCAAACCATTGGTCCATCTAACTCAGTATCGTCGGCACTGAACAGCAGCAACTCTCCAGGGTTTCAGACTACGGTCATCCCAAATCCTACCTGGAGATGCCAGGGATTAGACCTGGAGCCCTATACAGGCAAAGCAGATTCTCCACCACTGAGCTAGGGCCCTTCCCTAAGCCAGCAGGCTGTGCTGCAATAGGAACTTTGGCTGGGGGCACAAGTGGCCTCGGAGGAGGACCCATATCTCCTGCAAGAGGAGAGAGGGTGACATTTCCCTTGCTCGGTTTGTTGCAACAACTTTATAAGTGGGAGGGAGATGGCCGAGGAGGGAAAAGCTCCACTCACTCTCTCTCTTACATTGCTAAAGGGCTAGGAATGAGGAAGAGGGAAAGTTGGGTGCTGTACATCCCACTAACCCCAAAGCAGGATTTAGTTTCCAGGCTCCCCATCTTCCCAAGCTCCTCTTTTTGCCAAAGAGAAGCTCTGCGCCCTTCCTCTTCTTTCATCATGCTGCCCAGGAAGACTCACAAACAGCATCATTCCTTCATTTCTGAATGGTGCATCCATATGTCACAGGACGCACCATCTCAGAATAGGCCTTCCCACCCACCCACCCCACCCATGTGAAGGGGGTGATCCTTCTATGACCATCTGCAATTTTTAAGACGTACTTAAATTAAAAATTATTAATTTAACAAAAAATAAAATCTATGTTACCTGATTAGAAAGACTTTTTAATCAGTTTAATCTACTGTGATTAAACAGCGGTCCTTATCTCTTCAGACTAGCATAGCAGGTAGCCAGGGAAGGTTTTAAGTAACGTCTTAAACCATTAATTTGCCCCAGTTCCCTCCCCGCACTCACTTGGCAATCTGGATACTTTATTTGGAGTAGCTGATGCAGACGTGAATGGCGAAACTCTTCCTCACATTCACAGCAAAAAAGAAAAAGGTTGGGATGATCAGACTACAAATAAATTCTGTGCCCTCCAAAAGTATAAATGTTTTGAGTGAGCAGGCAACCCTCATCCTGGTCTCAGGACTATTGGCACATTTGCTGATTAGCTAAAATGATTGTCCACAGACACCAGGTAAGAGCTGCATTCCTGGGGTGTGGGGGATGCATTGAAGAGGAAACACTGCTCCAGGGCATTTACACTCCTCTTGCTTCTGCTGAACAGACTTTGGGGGGCATTTGTATTTCCAAAACCTGCCAAACCTCTTTAACAGGGAAGAGATTTACCGGTATGTGCATGCTGCATGGGAAGGGAAATCTCTTCTCTCTTTCTCGCTCTCTCTCCCCTCCTTCCATCCCCCCCCTTTCAGAAATCTCAAAGACAACAACCTGTCTTCCCTCTCACATTGCCCTTAGCTGTCCACATACTGCTGTTTTCTGAGAAGAAAATGGAAGTTGGATACGGAAAGCTGGTGCAGCGTGGAAAAGACCATTTGATGATAGTTCTCCGTCTGCAGAATAGATGCTCCTGCCACATGGGAGGTGTTGAACCCCAAAGGCCTTTGCTCCCCACTTACCTTCTCTTGATTCATTTCCTCCTTCTTCTTTTTATAAAGTTGCAGACACTTGATTTATACAACTTCACACAGATCAACTTAAACTACCTGTCCTGTGAGGGATCCCATCTTGCTTCCATGGGGGGTGAGGGAACGGAGTCTTTCTTATGTATGTATGTATGTATTTATTTTCCTGCTCTTAAAGCAACTGATCAATAAACGAAGCAATACTTTTAATTAACGATGTGCTTAGAAAAAGGACAGAACGGCCTGCCTTTCCCACAAAGCAGGGCTTTTATGGCATAGCAATAGATGAGAGAGATTTCAGCTTGCCGTGTGATAGAATGGTTAACTTTTCATTTTTAAAGAAAAACAGGTTTATTGCAGGGTATTTTTTTTTTAAATGGCAAAGGCATGTGTCTGCTTTGGGACTGGAAATGGGTGGGTCTGGAAAGGGATCCTAGCAGGGCAGAGGTGTGAAATTCAGCTTGCTTCCTGCTTGCAGATTTCTAAGTTGCAGCTTCCCTTCTCCTACCTCCTTAGCCCACCAATATTCCATGAGTCCAGCCCCTCTGTCCCCTCTATTACACAATTGCCTTATATTTGCCAGTAGAACAGAGCACTTAATCCATCCTTGGTGAGATGCTTGTAGCAATTAAAACAGTTCAACATTGTGCCCATTAGATACAGGAGCCGTGGCATCTACTAAAGGTGACAACATAGCTGTACAGGTTAGCTTGTTGCATGTAGCCTGCTCAAGTATGTGCAGAAGCTGCATGACTTAACTTTCCAACTTGATGCAAGTGGACTGAACCCTTAGCAACGGAAAAGCTTGCAGTTGCTGTTCAGGTGAGATGGGGTGGGCGGGATCTCAAGTCTGACAAACTCAGGCCTCCTCTTTGCATAGGGAAAAGGAATGCAATGTCATGTGTGTGCATCATAGTGCTTTGTGATGTTGCCATCTTGACAGCCAGTTGGCATTGCCAGTAGCAAGTGAGATTGGTCACCTGTCTGAGCCTGATTAACAGGCCTACTGAGTCCCAGATTCAGCTCAATCACTCACAGTAGGAAACTAATGATGGCTTAAGAACTGTGTGAGTGAAGAAGCCACACCTTTTACTCTCTTACCTAGAAGCTCTTAACTTGAGCTGACATGTGGATGACTCCTCCCTCCACACATACATGGGAGGAGAGTTAGGCAGAGCCTTTTCCAGATTTGTAGAATCCCTACCAACAGAAGTGCTGTACATCTGAGTAGTTAGAGCACATAACTTTGCATGCGAAAGCACCCAGCTTTTCTTAAATAAAAACAAAAGGCACCGGGAGGTTTTTGGTGTTGGGGAACCTTTGGCCCTCTAGATGTCTTTGAACTACAGCTCTCATCAGCCCCAGCCAGTGTGGCCAGTCATCAGGGATGATGGAAGTTACAGTCCATCAACAGCCGGAGGGCCAGAAATTCCCACCACCTACCTTAGACCTTGTTGGGCCCTTGATGGAGGAACTAAGACTCTGGCTTGATGCCTCTGCTTAAATGAAATCATTTCCCCCTATTTCCCTCCTTCGCCATTGTAGGCCACATCCTTGTCTCATTTCCAATGAGACATTTTTGTTTGTTTGTTTGTTTGCTCCTGCACAAGAAATTCTAACTTGGGAGTTACACCACATCAAGTAGGTTCATGTCAGCATCTAAGCGGCGTCATCCCTTTCCAGCACCCTCATTCATCTTCCCACTGGCAATTCTGATCTCTCTATTGCAAGCCCTGCTTGAAAACGTGCCACAGGGAATGTCCTCACTGCAGAGTGGATTTTATCCCAGCAGCAGCATTTGTTACAGATCAGAGCATGGTAGGAAGGCACTACATCAGGTACGTGTTCCCCTAGGAGGTGGAAGCTCCCTATGAGAAAACTGCTTGGGCGGGGTCAGTGTGTAAGATGTAGGCCAGTCCTATGGGCAGCTGCAACAGCTTGGCACCTAGAAGGCTGTCTTATACCGAACTAGTCCATTGTTCCCTCTAGTTCAGTATTATCTACACTGAATAGCAGCAGTCTATGAGGGTTGCGGGGACGCGGGTGGCGCTGTGGGTAAAACCTCAGCGCCTAGGACTTGCCGATCGCATGGTCGGCGGTTCGAATCCCTGCGGCGGGGTGTGCTCCCGTTGCTCGGTCCCAGCGCCTGCCAACCTAGCAGTTCGAAAGCACCCCCGGGTGCAAGTAGATAAATAGGGACTGCTTACTAGCGGGAAGATAAACGGCGTTTCCGTGTGTGGCTCTGGCTCGCCAGAGCAGCTTCGTCATGCTGGCCACGTGACCCGGAAGTGTCTGCGGACAGCACTGGCTCCCGGCCTCTAGAGTGAGATGAGTGCACAACCCTAGAGTCTGTCAAGACTGGCCCGTACGGGCAGGGGTACCTTTACCTTTTATGAGGGTTGCAGGCAATGACATTCCCAGCTGCAGACATTCTTGAGATGCTAGGGTTTGAACTGTGAACATTCTACATACAAAGTGTGTGTTCTAACAACAGAGCTCTAGCCCCTTAAAAGCAAAGTAAGATTCTGGTCCTCATCATTCTGAACAAAGGGCTGAATTAAATAAGAACATAGGAAGCTGCCTTATCCCCAGTCAGCCCATTGGTCTATCTAGCCCACTGTTGTCTACACTGACTGGCAGTGGCTTTCAGGAAGGTGTCCTTACCAGGCCTGCCTGGAGATTCCATTGGGAATTCAACCTGTGTGTCAAGCAGATTCTCTACCACTGAGTGATTATGGCCCTTTGAGGCTCGGCTTGAAATAGTTTGGCTCGGGGGAGGGGGGATTAAAGCTCCTCCTGCACACCCCACTCCTCTGAGATATTCCATAACTGAACATCTGGCATTTCCTTCTTTGTCTTGATGTAGCTATTTGTTTAGCATCTATTGCTTTTTCATTTGTTTGGTAACTAGGGAGCGCTAATGCTAGAATGTTGCTGATGAATCCTCTTTTTGGCTTTCTGGACCTGTTGATGATACCTTGCATTTTCTCTTTCCGGGACAATAACTATGTAGTTATCTATACGGTACCTGGAGATGGAGACATTTTGGTGGGCACGGCAGCTTTTAATTGGAAGGTCACCAGCCTCCTCTAAACACTGTGGCCTCAATACAATCTGTGCTTCTCTTCCCACTCCCCCCCCCCCCAAGAGTCAGTTCTCACAAGGACCTCTCTCCCTCTCTGGTTGCAGCCACTGACTCACAAGGTAGCCTTAGGTGAGTGACTGTGCCTCTTAAATGAGTGTTCTGCTATAGGGATGAGGTTGTAAGAACATGTACAACCTTGGAAATTGTGGTTTAGTTCTGTTTGGGCAGCCTAATGGTAATAATAACTGCAGTGGCATCGTCCCCTGCCTACAGCTTACTTTTGAATAGTAAGCACATTCCCCTTGCCCTTCCTATCAGTTGGGAACATTTGAGAATTGGATTTGTCTCTTTGTTTATCCATTTGTGCTTGAAGTGTTCAATCATGCTTATAGGGCTGAGGGGAGAAGACTGGTCCGCTTGCTGCTGTCACAACAGCCCCTACTTCCAGCTCGCAAGAAGTTCCAGCTGTTCCTAAGGGGGTGTTATATGTGCAGGTCTCCCACATCTGCTCTGTCACCAGCCAGTCCAATAGATCCAATACATCTCATTTTTTTCTGACTATATCTTTTGTGTTTGCAAAGGCAGCTCTGGAGGACAAAGCCAGCACTCAGGCTTGTTCTCAAACATTACTAGTGCAGATGATCTATACTTTTCTATCCGGTCTTCCTCCGAAAGAGCTGTCTCAAAAAAAAAAAGGCTGATTACAGTAGGTGCCCAGGTGATGCAACAGCATTCGCTGCCCCCAGACCATCCACTGTTGCCAAATAAAAAAAGAAGTCTGTGATCTAATAGATCTCAAAGCAAGGAACATCATTTGCCAGAATAGTTGGCAAAGTTTGCCTCTTACAACCCAGTCCTTGTGGCACTAAAGGTCCTTGCCGTGATTGTAGCATTAATATATATATATCTCTCTCTCTCTCTCTCACACACACACACACACCTACCTTTGCATGTCTGTCCTGTATGTGCCATTTGACACTTGATGAACCCGAAGATCCACATTTCCTTCCCCCACCACAACCCAGTGGCATTCTTGTGTGTCCAAGTGAGCAGGATTTTATCTTTCTTTTTTTTTAAAAAAAAGGGGTGGGTGGGGTGTTACTATTTTCTGCAGGTTTGGACTTCCTAATATTTATTATGTATTTCTCTTGCCAGACGGAAAGCACTCACAAATGCTAACGTTTGTATAAAACAAATTTGTTGTCTACCCTGGTTGCTTGTCCCCCCCCACCCTTCCTTATAAAAAGCCCTCAAGCAGAATCCAGCACAACTCATGGTTGGCGACAAACAGCCTTCTTTGGCAAGGGAACTGACTTCCGAGTAAAGCTGCAGTTGTGGGACCCCCTATCAAGTTGTTGGGGGGCTTCCTTTTTATGATGGGTTTCCTTAACCCCTGCTGTTAGGAGACACTCTTGTGTGTAGGAGGGGTGATTTGCCTGAAATTGGGGGAGTCTGGTGGAGCTTGAGGATTTCATTAGGCTCTCTACTCCTCTATTCTAGCAGTGACTGGGCTTTAGTGCCGAGTCAACCCGTGTAGGCACAATTAAGTCCGTCTGAATTCAGTGAAATTGGGCAGATCTGAGGCCTATGCAAGTTTCCTCAGAAGTAAGTCTCAGGGGAATCAGGCCTTGTTCCCTGGAAAGTGCGTTTCATGAATCCAGCCTTGCAGTAGTCATAGGAAGCTGCCTTGTGCTGGGTCAGACCATTAGGTCTACCTTGCTCAGTAGCGTCTGCATTTACTGGCAGCAGCAGCCCAAGATTCTGGACAGGTTGCCTTCCAAGCACTACCTGGAGATTCCAGGGCTTGAGCCTAGCTCTGACCCTGAGCTACAGCCCTTTACCATCCTCTGCATGTTTACTTGGAAACAGGTGCAAATGTGTTCCATCGAGCTTAGTCCTTAGGTCATCATCCATAAGGCTGCTGCTTTCGTCGCACCAAACTTTTGCTGGATCCTGTCCCTTGACTGTTATCTAGTGGGGTTTTGTACTTTTCACCGATTATGTACTGTTGGGCTGTGGCTTCCCCTCTTGTGAGTCTCAAAGTTTAAATTACCACCAAGTGTCTTAAACTCGATTGTATTGCCATTGTTTTTAAATGCTAAAGTAATAATGTATTGTTATTATT